TTCTGAAAATAAACTGTTATTCATGTATTGTACATTTTGTAATGATTTTTGTGCAAAACGTGTACATTTTATGATAACAAGTAGCGTAATGCATTTATACATCTATACGCACTCTGCATATGTTCGGAAGAACGAAATATAAATCACTTGACCCAAATCAAGAAGCGGAATAACAAACAAACAACAAATAATAAACAAGTAATGTTATTTATTGTACATTTTGTAAAGATTTTTGTGTCAATTCTGTAATGAATATGAGTAGCGTGACACATTTACACATCGATACGCACTATGCGGAAGTTCGAAAGCATGAAATATGAATCACGTGACCCAAATCATTAACCGGAATGACAAACAAGAGAGGTTTTTCTAAAAAAAAAAAAAAAATGTTATTCATTTATTTTTTGTACATTTTGTAACAATTTTTGTGTAAATGTGACAATTACGAGTAGCGCGACACATTTATACATTGATATGCTCTATGCAAAAGTTCGGAAGTGCAAAATAAGAATCACGTGACCCAAATCAAGCGTAATGACAATCAAGAGTTTTTCTAAAAATAATCTGTTATTTATTTATTTTCTGTCAATTTTGTAATTGTGAGCAGCGTGATGCATTTATACATTGATGCGCACTGTGCATACATTCGGAAGCACGAAATATAATTCACGTGACCTAAATCATCAAGCAGAATGACAAACAAGAAAGGTTTTTCTAAAAATAATGTGTTATTTGTTTATTTTTTGTACATTTAGTAAAAATTTGTGTGTAAATTTTATGATGAATATGAGTAGCGTGACACATTTATACATCTATTCACACTATGCGGAAGGTTGAAAGCACAAAATATGAATCACGTGACCCAAATCATCAAGCAGAATGAAAGTTTTTCTGAAAATAAACTGTTATTCATTTATTGTACATTTTGTAATGATTTTTGTGCAAAACGTGTACATTTTATGATAACAAGTAGCGTTATGCATTTATACATCTATACGCACTCTGCATATGTTCGGAAGAGCGAAATATAAATCACCTGACCCAAATCAAGAAGCGGAATAACAAACAAACAACAAATAATAAACAAGTAATGACATTTATTGTACATTTGGTAAAGATTTTTGTGTCAATTTTGTAATGAATATGAGTAGCGTGACACATTTATACATCGATACGCACTATGCAGAAGTTCGAAAGCGTGAAATATGAATCACGTGACCCAAATCATTAACCGGAATGACAAACAAGAAAGATTTTTCTAAAAAAAAAAAGGGTTATTCATTTATTTTTTGTACATTTTTTAACAATTTTTGTGTAAATGTTGTGACAATTACGAGTAGCGCGACTCATTTACACATTGATATGCTCTATGCAAAAGTTCAGAAGTGCAAAATATGAATCACGTGACCCAAATCAAGCGTAATGACAATCAAGAGTTTTTCTAAAAATAATCTGTTATTTATTCATTTTCTGCCAATTTTGTAATTGTGAGCAGCGTTATGCATTTATACATTGATGCGCACTGTGCATACGTTCGGATGTTGGGAAGCACGAAATATGGATTATGTGACCCAAATCATCAAGCCAATTGACAAACGAGAGAAGTTTCTCTAAAAATATTATCTGTTATTTGTTTTCTGTAAATTTTGTAACCATTTTTGTTTAAACTGTGTCAATTTTGTGACGATTGCGAGTAGTGTGATACATTTATACATCGATATGCACTATGCAGAAGTTTTGATGCACGAAATATGAAACAGGCGACCTAAATCATCACGCAGAATGACAGACGAAAAAAGTTTTTATAAAAATAATCTGTTATTTACTTTTTTTTTTTTTTGTTGTACATTTTCTAACAATTTGTGTGTCAGTTTTGTGATAATCACAAGCAGCGTGACACATTTATACATTGATTCGCACTATGCGGAAGTATGGAAGTGCGAAATATAAATCACGTGACCCAAATCATTGATCGTAATGGCAAACGAGAAGTTTTTCTAAAAATGTATTAATTTATTGTACATCTTGTAACAATTTATTGTACATTTTGTAACGCTTTTTGTATAAATTGTGTAATGATGTGACGATTGCGAGTAGTAACACATTTATACATCAATACGAACACAGCTAGATAGGTTATGAAAAATCTAGCAAACATTTATAATTGTTTTAATGGCTGAAATGTTGCTGGTAAATAAAACAATCAAATCATTTAGCTATAACGTAATTTTAAAAACTTGTCTCAAAACTTGTCACTTTCAGTGTGTCCCGAATTTCATGCACACGACCTACTGATAAACAACCCAGGAAGCTAGGGTGCTGATTAAGATGCAGCACTAGTAAACAGTGTGGTAAAGTCCTATGAAAGTGAAGTGATTTGTTACAGGACTGTACAGAATCAGCAGTACTGACCTCTTTTTCTTGGTGACGATGAGCACATCATTGAAGAGGAACAGGTAGTAGCTCTTGAAGCTGAAGGCCTTCCGGAAAATGCTGAGATCATCGGTGTACACAGCCAGCTCACCGCTTTTCTTCAGCCAGCGAGAAGACGACACCAGAGGGAAAGGCTAACACATGCATAAAAACAGTGTGGTTTGTTCAGAACATTCCTTTGCTTTTTTATGAGGAGGTCATCAATAAAACTCCTTCAGAAATGCTTTTCTTTTCCAGCTGATCTCAAACTTATTTATTAAACCCTTACTTTTAAAACACTCTTAGAATGTAATGGCTTTTTTTCCATCATTCAGGAGGTCAGGAGGGGTGAACTGTGCTTTAAGTACATTTATTTTTTCCTTCACTTACATCAATTGGTGAAGTTTGTTCCTCGCCATTGTCGCCACTGGCTTGCTTGGTTTGGGACTTGTGGAGCTGTGTATTAATGGATTTGTTGTTTCTTCAGTGCTTGGACTTTCAGCAGTAAAAATTAAACCACACTGAACTAAACTAAAGTGAACTTCAACTCTGAAAACTGGACTGAAACAGTTTCAATTTACTAAAACTTCTATGTTAAGCTGCTTTGACAATCTACATTGTAAAAGCGCTATAGAAATAAAGATAAACTGATGAGAGAATACAGAGGAACAGTCAAAAATATGACACTGAAGAGCAGAGAGAACATTTGACTTAATTAAAAGTTTCTGCCTGGAAATATACTCGAGTAAATGTAAAAGTAAATAAGTAAATTCTGTTTTTATCATATCGAATCGTCCTCTAATCTAATAAGTCATTTGTCAAACAGAGAAAAGGGGGAAAACAACAACAAAAAGCCCTTAAAAAAGATTCTCTTTAAAGAGCACCTAGGTTACCCCTTTTTTCAGATTTAATATAAGTCTTTTGCGTCTCTAGAATGTGTATATAAAGTTTCAGCTCAAAACACCCATCAGATTTTTCATTATACCTTTTATAAGATGCTGTTTTATACTGATTTCCAGCAGGGGGTGGTTTTGTCGTACTGCGCCTTTAAGACGAGTCTTTCCCGCCTACTGTTTCTACATGCCTCCTCCCTCAGCTGCGTCAGACAACAGACAGACTTAAAGGAAGAAGGTCTCACGTAGCGTTTGAGAGAAATGCTACAGTAAGAACTAACCTTTACTAATCAGTATTGTGAAGTTGCATTGATGAGTCACACACAATATCGTTACAAAGTTAACGCGCGCACACACACACACACACACACACGCAGGCAGGCAGGCAGGCAGACAGACAGAGCGTGCTTAGCTTAGTTAAGGCTAACCTCAAGTACTGTGTGGATATCTGTGATGTTAATGTAAAAATAAACCTGATTTAACTTCCACAAACCGGGATTGAAGCGTCTTCTTTTATAATTGTTCTGACACGCGGCTGTGCTGATGAAGTAAAGCTGAAGTAAAACGCTGCAATTAATTACACACAAAATCTATTTTAAAACACTTTAAACATGTGAAACTTACTCTTAATCACATTTGATGATGATTGCTGATCCTAGCGAACAGAACAGACCTTTTATTCCCGGTTGCTTTGCGTATGTCTGCCTGGTCTTGTTGACATATACACGTGACTACCGGAACATGTTAATGCGCGCAGCTGTCAATCAATTCGGTGGGCGGGGGGATCGCACACCTACGTAATGGTGCGATCGATTTGAAAACAGCTCCAATTGGCCGACCCTTTTTTTTGTAGTTAAATTGAAAAAAAAAGGAGTGGGTGTGTTCATATCACCCCAGTATGATGGTCTATACACAATACCAACACACAGATCTGTCCAAACAGCTTGAAAAGTAGATTTTTTACCATAGGTGCCCTTTAAAGCTTCAGTATATAATAGTTTTTGATCACATTTAATGCATTAGTAAAATACCCTTTATCAACTTCTAGTAAAGTCACTAAGCATGATTTACAACCAATTTACACATGGGCCATCCCTTTGAACACTTTTTGAAAATTTGTAACATTTCATAAAAAAATTAAAATAAATAAATAAAATCGGAATTTGTAATTTTACCAAAATATTAACTGTAAATCAAATGATCATCACTGGAATATATTTACACTCAAGCGGCGTAAACTTCCATTCATATGCACGTGAAGGTGTCAGACCGGAAACACAAGCTTGTGCAACAAGTTGCGCAGTTCGCTGTGTTGCAAAGTTCAAGATTGGTGAACTTTGACCTGGGAAATCGCATTACTTGACTGCGTGAGACCAATCGAGGATCAAAACATGATATCTCTGGACAGAAATAAAAAGTATGGACCAATTGCTCGCTTTTTATATGTCTAATCATCTTGTTTAGGCCAACCTCCTTTCACAGCGCCGTACGACAAAATTTTGCAGGCACAAACTCTATTGTGACCGTAGCATCAGTCTTGCGTATTTTGCCAATATACTAAATTAATAAGGGTGATTTTTTTTATTTTTTTTTTAGATTTTCAACAAAATGAGAGACCTCTTGAACAGTCTTACTGTAGATTTTCAGGAATTACTGTGGTGGGTTTGAGAAAACCATTATGTTTTTTAAAAAGGTCTTATAACATTTTTTTCCAAATTTTAAATAAAACTATTTTCATTTAGAGTTCTTTTTTTCCCCTGAAAAATTACAATTGATTAGAGTAAAGGTTATTGCACACTGAATATAAATTTTTGTCCGTAATTTTCGCAAGTTTAAAAATAAATTCGACCACCTGTTGTGTGCATCATATTGACATATTGCCTCTGAAACTTTCATCCGTCATAAAAAAAAAAAACTTGAACTGAATTTGATTGTTTTTCGCCTTTTCACATCCGAAAAAGCACTTTGAGAGGTGTTTTGACAGTGTAAAGCCACCGTACAAGCGTAAAGCTAAATACAGAGTGCGACGGATAACAAAGATAAACGGCGCGCATAAAATAAAGACAGAATATGGTGGATAGTTGAGAACCTGCGACTGGATTCTGTGACTAGCGCTCCTCTGCCCTGCTGCTGTTTGGTGTGTGTGTATGTATGCGTGTCCATACATTTGACGTACTGCCCACAGATTAAATTACATTAAATTCATCTTTATTTCTATAGCGCTTTTACCATGTAGATTGTGTCAAAGCAGCTTAACATAGAAGTTCTAGTAAACTGTGTCAGTCATTTTCAGAGTTGAAGTTCAGTTTAGTTCAGTTCAGTGTGGTTTAATTTTCACTGCTGAAAGTCCAAACACTGAAGAGCAAATCCTTTGATGCGCAGCTCCACAAGTCCCAAACCAAGCAAGCCAGTGGCGACAATGGCGAGGAACAAACTTCACCAATTGACCAAAGTACAGGAAAAAAAAACAGGTTCAGTTGGGCACGACCATTTCTCCTCTGGCCAAACTTTTTGTGCCACATTTTATAAAACCATCAATATTTTGAACTGAAATATTAGTGGTAACACTTCCATTAGTTAATTTATTTACTAACGTGAACAAATAATAAACAATACATTTATTACAGTATTTACTATTCTTTGCTAACATTAATTAAAATAAAATTGCCCAGTAGTTCTTGTCAACTCACAATGAACGAACTAATGTTAACAAGCACTAATTTGGATTTTAATAAAGCATTAATAAATGCTGGCTAAAACTGTGAATATTAATTATAATGATTCACAAATGGCACTGAATGATTTGTTTGACCAGATCCTTTAGGTTTTGTTCTCTAGTCAACAACTTAACTCAAATGACCCGGTCAGAGCAAAACTCCATTTAAAGATTAATTGAATTTACAAGTCTGACTAAAAATAATCAGAGTTTGCGTGCAACATTTGTTTGTGAACAAAACCTGCGGTAAGAAAAAAAGGTAAGTTGTTAAAGCCCATTGGGTGAGATGCTATATTGTCATGTCCACATGATCTTATTTAAAAACCAAACAAGGTTAAAATAACACAAATGAATCCCCAAATCACTGCTGCTGGAAGACATACAAGAAATTAAACTAGCCTATTTGCATAGTGGCCTTATTAAAATATTAACACGCTTGGTTCTGTGACAAGTTAGTTTGTAATTGTCTTGCTAAATTACTTATTTTCCGCAAAGTATTCATAGCGCTTCACTTTTTCCACACTTTTGATGTTACAGCCGTATTGCAAAATGGATTAAAATCATTTATTTCCTCAAAATTCCATACGAAATAGCCCATAATGACAATGTGAAAAAAGAGTTTTCGAAATTTTTGCAAATTGACTAAAAATAAAAAACCTGAAAAATCACATGTAAATAAGTATTCACAGCCTGTGTGTTAGAGATATAATGCTATAAAAATGTAATATCAGGATCATAGTGACCAAACTTATCAAGATTATTAATACTATCATGGTTTTGTTAAAACAACCTAATAAAAAAAATAAATAAATAAATAAAATAAAAATAAATAAATGTCACACACACTTCAAGCATTCCACCAGGTTTTGTATCTGAAAATGAACAAACTACATAATATTGGACTATTTATGTAATGGTTTAGTTTTTATGTACATTGTTTTCTTTGTGTTATTATTATTATTATTATTATTATCATTAAGGGGCTTTTCACCCTTTTTTTGGGATAGTTGAGAACAGACAGGAATGCATTGGGAGCAAAGAGAGGGGAAGGATCATCATAGGACCTCTTGCACTTGGAAAAGTACCTCACAAGGATTCATATTTATGTTGTCTTTACAAAAAATGGAATAAAGCTTCTTTATAAAAGTTGAAACAGCTTGTGTGATTAAACAAAAATATATAATTGCAATTCTGATATTGCGATTTGAACTCTGATCAAACACACCTTAAAGGAACACACCACTTATTATTTTAGAAAATGCCCATTATACAACCTCATTTTATGACCCCTAGGAGATAAAGAGTTGAGTTTTACTACTTTTTAATCCATTGCGATTTGTCTGACTGATTTGCTATTTAGTCAGCCATTAACTCATTCGTCTCAACAATGTGCAGTGCACACTTTAAATGAAATGAATACAACATATTTATATATACAGTGTATATATACCAAATATGCATTTGGTATATAAACATGCAGACCCTTAGAGTTGAGTTTGACCATTTTTGAATCCAATTAGCCGATCTCTGGATCTGGGAGTCTCACTTTTAGCTTAGCTTAGCATGAATCATTGAATCGGATTAGACCATTAGCAGAATATACAGGTAGTTTTCAAATCAGCAATAATCAACGACAGTTATAACTACAATGAAAAATTGAAATAGTAATACTAACAGTCACACTATTTACTATGGTATATCTTAAACCTGGTAATCATGTCAACACTAGTGTGTGTGTGTGTGTGTGTGTGTGTGTGTGTGTATTTTGGGATCTGCCTTCTTTAAAATAGTCTTACGTTTTAAAAGTAATCTGAATCCTTTCTCAGCCACCTAGGCAACCATGTACCTTGATTTTGCCAAACTCCATCTGTTTCTGGATGGTGTACATTTGCTCTGTCCGCTCCATCCTCCGAGCTCCATCATTACAGCTCTTCACCAGCTGAAAGGAGGAAAAAAACAAAACAACTTACATCAACTGTGACAAAGTACACAGGTTGTGCTGTGATTACATTTCTGAAATACTGTCATATTGAAGACTATTATGACACAAAGCTTGCATATCATAGCTTTTGTCGGAATTTTAGTATCTGCTTTATGCAATTTATCTTGTGAACATGACTAAAAACTAACCAAAACTACTTGTAGGGTACTAACGCTTACCAAATCCACAGCTATTACAATTTAAGAAAAGATATATTTTCTCACATTAACACTTGATGTAAAGAGAGTAAGACTGTACCTTACTGATAGCTTTAAAAGCCCAGCAGGCTTTATAATATTCAGCCGTCTCTTTAGTGGTCTTCTCACAGATGGTCTGTGGAGGTTTGGAAAGACAAACAAGTTCAATATAAGTTCTGAAAATTTGTTTCCAAGATGCCTATTTTAGCTCCAACTTTGATCCAACACCACTTTTTTGGGGGGGGATATACTCTACCTGGCAAAAATCTTGTCACCGCCTTCCTAAGTTTTAGGAACAACAAAAAAAAAAACCTTAACTTGTAGTTGATCATCTGGTATCAGAAGTGGCTTATATGAAAGGCGAAGGCCTGTAGATTTAGCTTATTTTACCAAAATAAAAAATGATCATGCCTAGATTTTAATCATTTAACTAGGACAGTAAGGTCTGACTTCTCTTAGACAAAAGTCTTGTCACTTAACAGAAATAATGTACAGTGTAGAATATAAAGTCATGCTGCAGTAGAAAAAGATTGAATATTGTGTATGACTCCCATGAGCTTGGAGGACTGCATCCATACATCTCTGCAATGACTCAAATCACTTATTAACAAAGTTTTCTGGAATGGCAAAGAAAGCGTTCCTGCAGGACTCCCAGAGTTCATCAAGATCCTTTGGATTCATCTTCAATGCCTCCTCCTCTATCTTACCCCAGACATGCTCAATAATGTTCATGCCTGGTGACTGGGCTGGCCAATGCTGGAGCACCTTGACCTTTATTTGCTTAAGGAACTTTGATGTGGAGGCTGAAGTATAATGAGCGCTATCCTGCTGAAGAATTTGCCCTCTCCTCTGGTTTGTAATGCATTGGGCAGCACAAATGTCTTGATACCTCAGGCTGTTGATGTTGCCATCCACTCTGCAGATTTCTCGCATGCCCCCATACTGAATGTAACTCTAAACCATGATTTTTTCTTTACCAAACTTGACTAATTTCATGTGAGAATCCTGGTCTATGCGGGTTCCAGTAGGTCTTCTGCTGTATTTGTGATGATTGGGATGCAGCTCAACAGACGATTCATCAGAAAAACCGACCTTCTGACACTTTTCCAAATGATCAACTAGAAGTCAAGTTATTATCTGTTGCTCTTACAACTGGGATCCACGACAAGACTTTTGTCAGGTAGTGTATGCTCCTTATACAACACCTCCTTATAGAGTTGAAATAGTTGAGTTTTACAATATTTTAAATCCATTTAGCACATCGACTGGTCTGACGACAGAATTTTTAGCTTAGCTTAGAATAAATCATTGAATCGGATTAGACCATTAGCATCTCGCCATTCCCAATACCTCTGGTTTAGGCATAATCCCTCATGCCATAGATGTTCAATAGAAAGCTGCAGGTAACAGAAGGACTGTAAATCTTACATCCATCAGAAGCGGCAGACGGGTGACTCTCTGCATGGGTAAGATGAGGAAGGAGAGCATGGGTAAACCTCCACAATCCTCACTGGTTTCGATCTGCTTCAGAGTCTCTCGAAACGCACTGTTACTCGACCTGAAACCCAAATACACACCACATGGCAGGTCGAACTCCTTGTAAAAGTTCTCTCCAGATCGTTTTCTACATGGCACTGATGCTTACAGTAGTTTCTGGAGGGTTCTCTGCTGGAAGGTCTCGTTGGAGCAGTACACGATGTATGGCTCAAAGTGCTTAGTTGCGTAAGTTGCCACTATATCACTGATGCGCTCGATCACAGGGTTTGCTTGGTGACGCTTATCCAGATCTTCAAAAAACCTGAGAAACAACAGACATGGTAGAGAGGATATTCAAAACATTTGAAGTAGTTAACATCTTAAACTTAACAAAATACTGGGACATCTTGCTTTATGGTTAACACTGCGTACAGTTCATTTATTCATTCATTTTCTTGTCAGCTTAGTCCCTTTATTAATCCGGGGTCGCCACAGTGGAATGAACCGCCAACTTATCCAGCAAGTTTTTACGCAGCGAATGCCCTTCCAGACGCAACCCATCTCTGGGAAACATCCACACACACTCTCATACACTACGGATAATTTAGCCTACCCAATTCACCTGTACCACATGTCTTTGGGCTATGGGGGACACCGGAGCACCCGGAGGAAAACATGCAAACTCCACACAGAAACGCCAACTGAGCCAAGGTTCGAACCAGCGACCTTCTTGCTGAGAGGCGAACATGCTACCCACTGCGCCACTGCCTTGCCCCTACTGTGTATAGTTAATACTGAATATACATGGTGTGTTAACGTCTCACACTGCATGCTATAAACCCTGGGTTAATGTTTGCAGTGGCAGCCTCACTGACTGAACAAATACAATAAGAAACCTGTTTATATAAAGGCTCCTGCACTGCACATCCTCATTTTATATAATGCTGACCAATGTTTTCCTCGATCTACTTTCTGGAACATAAAAAGGTGCAAGATCATAAACAGACATGGTTTAGTTACTTAATTGCAATTTTCTATCTGATAAGGACTTGTATAATACAAACATTTATATCTACATGTCATTATTTCACTGTACCAAATCAGATATTCTATTTAAAATTTTGCTTTTGACATATTAGAGGCATCATTAATAATCGATGTCAGGAAAAAAGCTGAATTGCATTTAAAAGAGATGAATATTTATATATGTAACGGTCCATGCTTTAACTGAAGGAAATCTTAAAAGTTTTAATAGCAGCACAATCAAACCAAATAAAAAAGGAACATGACATATACAAGTGATTAAAGGGAATTTTGAATAATAACCGTAATAAAAGAAATTATAAAAAGTTATTATTTTTCAAATGTAATATTTGCTATAATCGACATGGATAATATTCAGTATTTCTATTAATTACATTATAAACATATAAAAAATAGAAAAGAAAACTATGTAAATATTTATTAGAGACAAGCTTGTTTTATTAATATGATTGTTTGCAGAAAAAAAAAACTCAACCTTTGGCGTAAGTTGGGTTAGCAGAATTCGTACAGAAGGCCTGGAGTGGCACTTTGTTACAAAAGTTAGTATTTTTAAAATGTAATATTTGCTATAATCGACATGGCTAATATTCAGTATTTTTATTAATCGCATTTAAGACAGAAAAAAATAGAAAACAAGTCTTTATTAAATATTAAATTGTGGGTCATAATACCGGCCTATCTACAACTTGACCACCAGAGGGCGCAAATACATCATCTTACCATCATCTAACTATTAACAATCTGTTTAAAGATTTGGTTAAACATCAAACACTTTACAGTTGAGTTTAAGTTGAACTAATTACATAATATAGACTTTTTATTTTTAATTTCTTCACAATCTGTTTACAAACCTCATTAACTACACCTTATTGGATGTTTTTGATTTGTATAAGCCTTAAAATAAAACTAGCGAGGCAGAAAGGATTTTTATTAATTCAAGGAGTTCCACATTTTGCAAATGTTAATACATTAAGCTAATAAGCCAAATAATGTATTTTGTGTTATTTCTGGGTTCGAACTCTTTCGTGGAGACCAAATTCATGAACTTTTAAAATCACTAATAATTTTAAATTATTAATTATTAAGAGACTGGTGGACACAATGTTTTCACCACAAGTCTGTTCTTGGTTTAATTTTGAAGATTGCCAATCAGAGATCATCCTCAATGTTCAGTTGTGGCCTGTATTTATTTTGAATGTATTTGGTTGCCATTAAGGTGCCAGAAAGTTTAACCTGATGCTATAAAATCAATCTGCTGCAGCTGACAATACTGCTGTGTTGTTAATCTAATGTAACCACTAATCCTGTGAACAAAAAAAGGATGATGGCTTTTCATTTGCATGTGTTTTTTTATTATTAAAAACTACTATTGGTATCTTCGGTAGTTTATGGATAAAATATGGTAATTCTAGTATCTTAATAAAATAAGAATGACTTTTAGAAATCTTCTATCATTGACTACGTTTACGTGGACATCAGTAATCAAAGTATTTGACTTAATCAGAATAAGACAGTAATATGATTAAGGCGTTTACATGAGTTGCTTTTTGAATGTTCCTCTTATAATCTCGTTTTACTTGTTTTAGCACATAATTCGATTAACATCATTGCATCACCACGCTAGCCACATTTCCTGCGCAGTTTCATGTAATTTCGGGTGTTTCATTTTTAGTTTGTCGACTTTAACTGCAGTTTGGCACTTTCACTTTCATTCAGGAACATTTCATGCATGCCCCCGTGACAAACGAGATATTGGATGAGAGTATGAACTGCTGGAAGAGCTCCGTATGGGAAAAAAACCCTTCGCATTTCGCGATGCAGGTGTCTGTGGTCCTTCTCTGACTCTGTGGGTGTAGAATAGTGAATATGTACAGGTATACTGTCAGAATAGTGTCAAACAGCCATGTGCGTAGAGACTATCCTGTCGCAATATGCAGCGAAAACCCTACATGAGAGTAATAGTAATTAGGTGTTTACATGTCTGCACTGCACTTCAATAATGCGACTAAAATCGGCATACTGCTCATGTCTTAATATGATTTCTGTTTAGGTCAATTATGACCTTAATCGAATTAAATTGATAAAAAAAAAGACATTAACTCTTAATCAGAGTATTGTCTTAATCGTATTAAAATCAGGCTATTGGTATCCATGTAAACATACTCATTAGCCTCTTTTACACAATGATACCGGTAAATACTCTGAATATTACTGGAACGACTTCACCGGTAAATAAAAAAAAAAGTGTTTACACAAGGAAGGTTGTTCTGGAATTTTTCATTCCAAAATACCGGTAAATTCTGACCTCATTAACCAGAAATTACGTACAAAAGACAGCTCTTGTATTTGTAAACACAGAAGGGGTCCGGCGATTTCACTTTATTTAAAGCTTTATCTTTTATGCAGCTGCTTTGTGTGACATCCAAAGGCAGAAACGCAAACCGCAGCTAACTGTTTGCACACTTGACGACATTACAAATTATGTGGATGGATCAGTATTGTGAACAACTTATATGAAAACATATGGAGGAACACTTTCACATGTCTAGATGTTTTTAATATGTGTGTGCGCTGGCGCTCACCGGCTGCTTCACGTGCACACGCGTCAAGCAACTGAAGCAGAGCTTGAAGGTAAACAAACAGCGGTTTATCATAAGCTTTTTATAGATAAATATTTACACAGTTGGGATTAAGGAGGAACTTAGAGACGTTATCTGACTAACATCTAGCAGATAAATGTGTCAGGAAAAATATTCAAAGGTTTTTATTTTCATAAACAGCGCTGATGTGAATGCGTCTGAGTGTTCTGATTGGCTAAAGTAGACGTCTCACGTCAGCGCAATCTAGACGTGAACGCACTCTTTCCGGCAAACATTCTGGCAAATTACCGGTAATGTTACAACTTCTCTTTCCGGAAAATTGCCGGAATGAACTAACCAGTATTTTCAAAAAGGGCCTGTTCACACATACATACCTTTCTGGAAAGTTTTCCGGTATTTTTCCGGAAAGGTCTGTATGTGTGAAAGAGGCTTTTGTCTCTCGACCCCTACTTTGGAAACCACTGCCATCTTGTACTTAACATTTCACTTACATTTCAGTATTTACATTAAAATGTCAGAAATAATCATGTCATGTTTACAGAACGTTAATACAATTTGTTGAATTCAATACTGGTCTCCTGAAATACTGATCAAACATGCATTATTTGTCATAGTTCTTGTATAAGATTTCAATTTTAGTGTTTTAAATTCAAAATATCAAAGTTTTTTCATTCAGTTTTTGAAAGCAGCACAGTACAATTGTTGAAATAACATGAAAAACTTAAATTCAAGCACTTCCAAGGACCCGTGTATGTTTTTAACTACTTTCCAGGGGTTGAATTCATGTCTGAAACTCAAGTACTTTCAAAAATCATAGGAACCCAGACTATTTTTTAGTATATTTTATGCATAAGTAATAAACAGATACATATCAATATGCAAAGAATCTATCATTTCCTGGATTAGCACTACAGGCATCATACAAAACATGAACCACAACGCAATTGCACTCCTCCATGTTTCATTATGCTAAATAACTTTCAGCTGTATCAAACAAAACAACTTCAGCCTTTTCTTTCCCAACCCGAACGGCAACTCCCAGACTGGAAGCCCTCACTCCCACAATCCAACAAATTGAGTGCGCTTCTTTCATAAACAGGAGCAAACAACATGATGAAACATGTCTTGAAAGCATTTGCATATGTGATAGTCGCTGCTTCAGAGCCACAGCATTCAGTGTCTAAAGCAGAATGGTTCACACACACACAGAGTTTCTGTGAAACGGGTATTACGTTTCATTGTGAATGTGTGAAAGACCCTGTTTTTAGAAACATGAATCCAGGCGGCGACAAGCTGCTTAACCAGTTCAACCAGCATGTCGAAACACGTCCACTGAACTCAACCTCTGCATCCAGCTTTTTAAAAACCCAGATCAAAAACCAGAACCGGATATTCCACTAGTAATCACAAACTATATAATACTGTAGGTTTGTGTGATCATGACTGATTAAAGGGATAGTTCAGCCAAAAAGGAAAATTCGGTCATCGTTTACAAACCGATAACTTGTTTCAAACCCTAATCCTTCCCTTTTTCTTTTAAACAAAAAATAAGATATTAAAAAAAAAAAATTGGAAATCTGTAACCTTTTTTTTCTACTATGGAAGTCAATGTTTAGCAGTTTTCTTCAAAAATACACTCACCGGACATTTTATTAGGTACACCTGTCCAACTGCTCATTAATCAGCCAATCACATGGCAGCAACTCAAAGCATTTGCCATGTAGACATGGGCTGTTTCTCAATTCCAAGAACGCAGAGAACGGACTTGCGTTCTTGTGGAGACCGGTCTTGCCAGGTGTCCTCGGAAGAACAAACTCAGGAGACCGCGAGGGCAGAGAACGCGTCCTTTGAGAAATGGGATGCTGCGTTCTTCCTGATGGTCATGTGACCTTCACGCGTTTTAAATGGAAATTATTTAAACATTACAGCATTCATACAACGATTTATTGTTTCCGCCCTCTTCAAAATATATACTTTGCATAAAAACATTATAAATATACTCAATATAAATAAATCAAATTTTAATACGAATTTCAGCAAACAAACAAACATTAATGTGTTTATTCCTTTATTAAGATGTTCATGTTAATGTTTACTTTCACTGTTTTATTTAGGGAAACTCCTGAGGTGAATAAGTCATATCTCTGAACTATAATAATAAATCTAAATAAAATGTGGCGCTTCCCACCTCCAGTCGCAATGACTTCTGGGACTTCCAGAGCGAGTTCGGTGCTCAAGTTTGCATCAGTGCATCCTCGATATCAAGAACACATCCGGGAAGTTTCACACGTCCTCCGTACTTGTGGTCTTGAGTATTGGAACTGAACTTAGGCAGCTGATGATGACGTTGCACGAGAACACGAGGACGCAAGACCGCTGAAGAACGCATATTGAGAAACAGCCATGGTCAAGATGATCTGCTGCAACCCAGCTGCTGCTGGTGGTGATGCAATGATGTGGAGGATATTTTCTTGACACACTTTGGGCCTATTAGTACCAATTGAGCATCGTGTCAACGCCACAGCCTACCAGAGTATTGTTGCAGACCATGTGCATCCCATTATGACCACAGTGTACCCATCTTCTGATGGCTACTTCCAGCAGGATAACGCACCATGTCATAAAGCACAAATCATCTCAGACTGGTTTCTTGAACATGACAATGAGATCACTGTACTCAAATGGCCTCCACAGTCACCAGATCTCAATCCAATAGAGCACCTTTGGCATGTGGTCGAACGAGAGATTTGCATTATGCCTGTGCAGCCGACAAATCTGCAGCAACTGCGTGATGCCATCACGTCAATATGGACCAAAATCTCTGAGGGATATTTCTAGTACCTTGTTGAGTCTATGCCACAATTAAGGCAGGTCTGAAGGCAAAAGGGGTCCAAACCCGGTATTAGTAAGGTGTATCTAATTAAGTGGCTGGTGAATCTAAACTGTTGTAGGTGTAATAACAGACAAATTGGGAAACTATTCATTTAAACACTCGCACTAACTATTTTTGACTGCCAATCATGAATTCAGCTTCAATTTGCATGAAATGGTCTAATTGTCATAATATTTCTGTGTTTACTCTAAATATACATTTAAATGAAACCTCTATTGTGTGTATTATTTGTAACTTTTTTGTCTGTCCCTATATGTTCTGATCAACTGTTCAATCAATGGTAAAAAAAAGCAGAACAATCTGTATAGCACTGATAAAAAAAAGCACCTCCACTTTCTCCAAGTGGTGTCACTATTTCTGGCGGGAAACTCTGGAAGGCATTAAGGCATGTCATCATAGTTCACTCAATAATTTGTTCGAAATGTTTAGGATACACTAATTCGTTCATTCATTTTCCTTCGGCTTAGTCTCTACTTTAGAGGTCACCACAGCAGAATGAACTTCCAACTATTCGAGCATATGTTTTATGCAGCTGATGCCCTTCCCGCCGCCACCCAATATTGTAAATCATACACATTAATTACACAGATTAATCAAATGTCAACTCTGTTACTGTTATATTTCAGTGAATCTCTCATTCACTTTTTAAAAACAATAATATCATGAAAATACATAACACAATTTTGTTTTAGACATGCAAGGTGATAGCCACAGCCATATCAAGGCCAGCTAAGCAGGGCTGAGATTGGTAGGTACCTGGATGAGAGACAACATGGAAAAACTAGGTTGCTGTTGGAAGTGGTATTAGTGAGGACAGCAGGGATCACTTAACCTTCGGTCTGTGTGAGTCCTAATGCCCCAGTATAGTGAAAGGTACACTATACTTTCAGTGAGCGCCGTCTTTCGCATGAGACGTTAAACCGAGGTCCTAAGTCTCTGTGGTCATTTAAAACCTCATGGCACTTCGAGTAGGGGTGTAACCCCGGTGTGCTGGCCAAATTCCCTCCATCAGTCCTTATCTATCATAGCCTCCCAATCATCCCCCATCCACTGAATTAGCTCTATCACTATCTCTTCAGTCTCCGCTTCACCTATAGCTGGTGTGTGGTGAGTGCACTGGCGGCGTTGTCCTGTGGTTGCCGTCGCATCATCCAAGTGGATGCTGCACACTGTGAGTGGTGTGGAGAGACCCCCCTCATGACTGTGAAGCGATTTCGGTGTATCAACAACACGATAAATGCGCTATATAAATACGCATTACATTACATTACACATCTGATGAGGTTAGCATCTTAAGCTAATGCACAAAATGCTGAAAAATAGAAACCCTGTTTGCCAACTCTGTTTTAAAAGTTTAACAACAAGTTAAACAACACTTAGTAACAGAATCGAATGTTCTCCATCACACCGTATCTTTATTTGACATTAATAATGGATTGAGTTAACTGTAAATGGCACACTGGTTGTATATCATTCCAGTTCAAGGATAAATGAATGTAAAGTGCTCAAAACGTACCTGCAAATCTGGAAAGAGTCATCGTTTACATCCATTTTAGACAAATTCAGTAGTGTGTCTAGTCCTGATTAAATCCAATTTCTTCATTTACTGACTATTAAAAGCATGTGTCTCTTTCATTTTTCGAAAAGGAAAAAAAAAAAGAAAGATTTTTGAGTACATAAGAGGATGCCTGTACCGTTTGCTGACATCCTGGATGACGGATATGTTGGAGAACAGGTGATGGTGCTCTGTTGCAGTCATGGTCTTTCTCAGATCCACGCTGTCCTTGAAATGACGCACCAGGATGCTCAAACTGTGCTGGTAGGAATATTCTGACGTGATGATTTCAAAGATGACCTGCACAAATACAGAATGCAATGATTTACTTAATTTATATTAATTTGTAGTGACATATTGTTTGCTCAACGGCAAAAAAGGATGCCAGATACACAGAGGTTTTAACAACATCGAGAACATTTCTATTTACTCAACTCAAAAAGCCTAAACAGCTAAAAACGGTTAAATTACTCAGACAGCGTCAAAATTACTCACATTATCAGTTTATTCAGAATAGTTTAGAACGGGTTCTCAACCCCGGTGCCCGCTTCTTTCTCAGATCAATTTTTTTAAGGCCCTGTCTGACATTTTCTCTAAAATGTTTGTAAGAAATGCTCATTTAAACCTTTATTTATTAAAAAAATAATAATAAAATTGTCCTAAAACAAGAATGTGTGTTGTTCAAAGTTATTTTTTATTTTATTTGTTGGTTTGTTTATATTTGTTATGCTAAACATAGAATGAATTGAAGTCATTGGGAAAAAACTGAATTTGTTGCGTTCAAATGTATATTTTTCTGTGTTTTTCTGTTTATTTTTTATTTTTATTTATATTTTTATTTTATTATGTAGTGTTTTATTTCGTGTACTTAAATTTGCACATACAATATACAATGCTCAGCATATACGAGTACACCCCTCACAAATCTCTCTTTTAAATTCATATTTTTAATAGGAAGATTTACAATATTACATTTGTGCATGTACATTAGATTAGTCAGTACTGAAGCCAAATCTGGAGCTTATCTAATAAAATAACTTACGATAATGGTACAAAAACTAGTACACCTAAATTTATTTGTTATACAAAAATATTCAATACAAATACAAATATAAAAAAAGAGGAAAAAATCAAGAGAACCTAAAAATTTTTTTTATATTTTGCTTGAATTTAATTGTATTATCTTTTAATTTCTAAATATGTTTAGTGACTAAAATATTATTTTAATAAATATATCAGTTTAATAAATCTTTTTTGTTTAAATGCACCAAAATGTATTGCCTATATTTACTGAGAAACGGATAAAAACAATTATTTTCAAAATGGGGTGTACTCAATTCCACTGAGCACTGTAGGTACTGAAACTGCAGCAACAAATTTGAATATAAAATAATGAGACAAAAAAAAAATAAAAAAATATATATATATATATAAAAAAAAAGAAAAAGAAAACATGCAGGCAAATTTGATATTTGAAGCCTCCAACCTTTAAATGCAGAGATAAATAAAAAAAATCCCCCCTGTCTATTTCCAAAAGTTAGGATAAGAATGTGCTAAAGTGTTGTTACATAAGAGCTGCTTTCCAAAGCAACTATTACCATTCCGCCCCATGCATAACGTTAGCTATTTAAACAGTTAATATTTGGCATGTAACCAGTTCCACTCCATTTGTGCTGCAGACTTCAATGCACCTCGGGTCACATGTCTTAAGGTGAAGTGCTGTTACTCAACAATCAGATTTATGTAGGAAGAACCAAACTACACTGTTTTATGACAATATTATGTCCTGTATTTATCTATAAAATGTAAAAACTTAATTAAATAATACATAAAATGATTACATTATAAATACTTTAACACTGTTGATTATCCTGCTTATTCCATAGTAATTTGCCAAACTAGAAGTGACATCTAATCTGGCTGCAAAATATACATACACCATCCACACCATAAGAAATAGTTAGATAGTTAATCCAAATTCATGTGTCTTATTTAAATAATCTACACTCTTGTATGTCTTGTATTCTTGTATTTAATTTGTTTTATTTACAGTATATTTTATGAATTTGAAATTATATTAGATATTAATGCTTTGGCAGTACGAGAGAGAGAGAGAGAGAGAGAGAGAGAGAGAGAGAGAGTGTGTTAATGACATGGGCATATCTAATAGTTCATTAACATAGTTCAGTAACATGTGTTCGCTACCTCTTCACTATTGTGTTGGAGTACTTTTGAGTGTTTGTTAACTCCCTGGTGAAACATATATCAGTGTACTCGAGATTAAACAACGATGTGAAGATTCCGTCATCTGTCACTGGGTTGCTATGGTTACAACCAATGTTTCAGAGAAGCACATGTATTTCGAACTGTGTCCATTACACATCCATTAAACAAATCCCCTGTACACCAGAATCATACATACAGTTGAAGTCAGAATTATTAGCCCTCCTAGATTATTAGCCCCCTGTATATTTTATTCCTCGATTTCTGTTTAACGGAATGAAAATTGTTTTCAACTCATTTTTAAACATAATAGTTTTAATAACTAATTTGTAATAACCTAATTATTTTATCTTCACCATAATGACAGTACATAATATTTACTGGATATTTTTCAAGATATTAGTGCTCAGCTTAAAGTGACATTTAAAGGTTTAATTACACTAATACATTTTAGTTTTAAAACGCAGAAGTATTTCCACGATTACACCATCCTTCTACACTAACCTGGAGTTTTTCAAGCCCTGAAAATGGAACATTTGGAAAACGCTGAAGAGGACGTTTTAATTTTTTGAAATGCTGCTGTTCTGTGTTATTGTGGATAGGGAAAACAGAGACATCTGGAAACGGAGGTGTGGCTGCAGACATTCGGATTGGGGCGACACATGCCAGAGTGTGTGTGTGTGGTCACGTGATGTGGGTTTTCAGCAGTGTAGTGTGGACAGAGATATTTTCAGAAAACAGTAGGTGAAATGCAAGTGTGGACGTGGATCATTTTCATTTTAAAATGCCGTTTAAAAACTAGAATTTATTAGTGTAAATAGGGCCTCAGTTAATTAGGTTACTTTATAAAGTTGTTGTTTAACAGTGGCTTGTTTAGCAGACAATCGAAAACAAATATAGGGCTAATAATGTCAATCTTATTATTATTTTTTGTATTTTTTTAAAAACTGCTTTTATTTTAGTTGAAATGAACCAAATAAGACTTTCTCCAGAACAAAAAATATTATAGGAAATACTGTGAAAAAGTCCTTTACATTGCTGTCAATCAACATTTTGGAAATATTTAAAAACGAAACAAAAATTCACAGGAAAACTAATCATTTTTGACTTCAACTGTACATACATACAGAAACTATGTATTCTGTGTCAGCAAAACAGTTTTTTACGTGGTTTCTGGCCCAAACATGCCCAAAATGGATTGAAAGAGAAAAGAAATCACAATACCGCCTCGTTTAAAGCAGCAGGTGGAACAAAAGTGTATAGGTAAGAGTCAGGTGTCTGGGTGTGTCTGTGTGGAGTACACCAAGTGAACTTTAGTATGTACACAGAGCCGAGTGAGTGAACTCATATAAACACAACAGCCAACTGACAGTGGCTACATGAAAGGACATCAAAATGTACTTGTGCTAATTTGACATATTGTTGCCAAAATATATGTAAACACTAAATGTGTCATAATATTACACCCAAAAATTTTAATTCTGTTATTATTTACTCACCCTTTACACTCCCTGACAAAAGTCTTGTCGCCTATCCAAGTTTTAGGAACATCAAATAATAACTTGACTTCTAGTTGATCATTTGGTATCAGAAGTTGCTTATATGAAAGGCGAAGGCCTCTAGATTATGCTTATTTTACCCAAATAAAATATGATCATTTCTTGATTTTTAGTTATTTAATTAAGACAGTAAGGTCTGACTTTGCCTAGACAAAAGTCTTGTCACTTAACAGAAATACTGTACAGTATAGAACATAGTCATGGTGCAGTGGATAAAGAATGAATATTGTGTATGACTCCTATGAGCTTGGAGGACTGCATCCATACATCTCTGCAATGACTCAAATCACTTATTAATAACGTCATCTGGAATGGCAAAGAAAGCGTTCTTGCAGGACTCCCAGAGTTCACCAAGATCGTTTGCATTTATCTTCACTGGCCCTTCCTTCATTTTACCCCAGACATGCTCAATAATGTTGATGTCTAGTGACTAGACTGGCCAATCCTGGAGCACCTTGATCTTCTTCGCTTTCAGGAACTTTGATTGGAGGCTGAAGTATGAGAAGGAGCGCTATCCTGCTGTAGAATTTGCCCTCTCCTGTGGTTTGTAATGTAATGGGCAGCACAAATGTCTTGATACCTCAGGCTGTTGATGTTGCCATCCCCTCTGCAGATCTCATGCACTCCCCCGTACTGAATGTAACCCCAAACCATGATCGTTTCAGGCTGTTTTCTGTGAGATTCTTGGCTCCATGTGGATTCCAATAGCTCTTATGCAGTGCATGTGATGATTGGGATGTAGTTGAACAGATGATTCATCTGAAACATCTACCTTCTGACACTTTTCCAAATGATCAACTAGAAGTCAAGTTATTATTTGTTCCTCTTACAACTGTGATCAATGACAAGACTTTTGTCGGGTAGTGTACTTGTTCCAAAGCTCTTTAAGTTTCTTTCTTCTTTTGAACACAAAATAAGATATATTGAAGAATGCTAGAAACCTGTAACCATTGATTTTCATAGTATTTGCGTATTGAAGTCAATGGTTACAGGCTTTCAGCATTCTTCAAACTATCTTCTCTTATGTTCAGCAAAAAAAAAAAAAATATATATACTCATAAAGGTTTGGAACGACTTAAGGGTGAGTAATTAGTTAGTAAAATTTCATTTTTGGGTGAACCAACCCTTTAAGACCAGCTTATCAGTACAGAAAAGCTATATACAGTTGAAGTCAGAATTATTAACGCCCCTGTTTATTTTTCTCCCCAATTTCTGCTTAACGGAGAGAAGATTTTTTTCAACACATTTCTGAACATAATAGTTTTAATAACGCATTTCTAATAACTGATTTATTTTATCTTTGTCATGATGACAGTAAATAATATTTTACTAGATCATTTTCTTTACAGATATAGATATCTAGATATCTTTCTATTCAGCTTAAAGCACCATTTAAAAGCTTAACTAGGTTAATTAGGTTAACTAGGCAGGTAAGGGTAATTGGGTAAGTTATTGTATAACGATGGTTTGTTCTGTAGACTATCAATAAACAAATAAAGCTCAAAGGGGGTAATAATTTTGTCCTTAAAATGGTGTTTAAAAAATTTAAAACTGCTTATATTCTAGCAAAAATAAAACAAATAAGACTTTCTCCAGAAGAAAAAATATTATCAGACATACTGTGAAAATTTCCTTTCTCAGTTAAACATCATTTGGGAAATATTTAATGAAGAAAAAAAAATAACTCAAAGGGGGTGAGGGCTAATAATTCTGACTTCAACTGTATATACATTTATAGTATTTTATAATAAATTAAGCTACTTGGAACTAATTAAATTACTTTACATTGACTTTTCACGTTATTTGACAAGCAAAGTATTCAAATAATTTAAAATATAGATGGTTTATCAATGTAACTGTAATTTTTTGTTGCATTATGTAATGTGGACACTCCCATAAAAGCACAGATAGGAGAGTATAGTTCTGCGAGTGTGCAAAAACAACAAGTGTCATGAAAACAAAAGTGAAACCGCTTTTTTTAGCACACACTGCTGTTCTTGAGATTAACTATTAATCTTAAAAATAAATCACTCATGGGGAAAAAAAAAATTTGTTTTGGTGAACTTTAATTAAAATCTGAAAATTAAGAGCCATTAAACGTCTGATCATTTCCGTTTGATTGCTAGATTGCTGTAAGTGAGAAAATAAATAAAACTGCCCTCCATTGGAAATACTTCCTAATACTGTAGTAAAATCACCAGGAACACACAGACTTCAAAGAACACAGACACAGCCAGCTCATTTCCATAATGACTGAAGAACACTACTCGCTAAGCAAATTACAAATAATGTAGTTTGCTGATCTAGATGTTCAAATAAATAAGGTTGAGTAGAGAAATTACAGCTAATTAACATTCATGGTAATGATTTTATGTTTTGGGGAATACTTGTAAGAACTTGTATGATCTCATTTGTATAATTAAAGACTGTTTTCAGAGATGACTAAGTCCGTAGGGCCATTTCTTTAGAATATTTCGTACAAGTGACATTTATATAAATCACCACAAGCCACTATTTTGCAAGAGCTTAAAATAGTTAGGATTTCCTGAGAGATTGGTTGTGAAATTCTTTGTTCTCTGTGGTAACTCCCCTATGGCAACTACTTCCCCCATGTCATAATGGGTTAAGACCAGGGTGCGAAGTGCAGGGGGTTTAGGATAAGGTTGTCAATAGTATCAACTTGAGTACTAATCAATCATAGATGTTTACATTACATGTCGCCTACGCTATTGTTGTCGATTGGAAGGAATGAGTCAATAGAACTGCCATTTTGGTGCAGGGTAGCACTCCTTTGAAATGAATGTGGAACCAAGTTGCAGTTGAGGACGGGCCATCCTGAGCCAGAGATATATACACATATATGCATACATCTACACTGTAAAACCCAACAGTCAACTTAATCAAATAATATGAGTGTAGTCAACTCGGAATGTACTAAAATTAATTCAACTCTGATTTTTACGGAACCCCAGAAGGGACGTAGTGGAGGAGAAAAAAATTGGCTGGGTGAAAAAAATAAAAGGGTGAAAGAAAAAAATGGGTGGGAGGAAAATAAATATTTCTATGTTTTTGCGTTCCCTCGCAAAGTTTTGCGTTATCTCACAAAGATGTTTTGCGTTCTCTCACAAACACTTCCTGTTCACTGCACTCACGTAAACCCTCCCGTTTTTGCCTAAATTCTCCCGTATTTTACCATTCTACCCCACTTTCTTTACATTACTGTGCGTCGATCGTCGACTTTCATATGCTACCTCTGAACCAGTGAATGCATGTATAAGCGCTGACTGACAGACGCGCTTCGTACAAAATAAACTGATCCCAGATCAGCGTCTGTACGCGCCATTTACAGAGGAGCGGGTGTATGTTTAAACAGACAAATACACTAATAATATGAAACATCTCTGTCCTGACTCCTGCATGTTTTATTTTAAACAGCTTATTTTCTCTTAAATGAGCACAAACAGTTTCTAAAGTAATGGACTGCTTTCATTATAGATCTGTGCATTCTTACAGAGACACCTCTGTTATCAAACTTAACAAAACATGAGATTCATTTGCTGCTCACTTGTTTGATAAAAGAAGTGTCCCTTTAAATGGCGCGTATACGCTGATCTGGGATCAGTTTATTGTACGAAGCGCGTCTGTCAGTAAGCGCTTATACATGCATTCATTGGTTCAGAGGTTGCAAAGTGAAACGATCAACGCACAGATTTAATGTAAAGAAAGTGGGGTAGAATGGTAAAATATGGTAGAATTTCGGCAAAAACGGGAGGGTTTACGTGAGTGCAGTGAACAGGAAGTGTTTGTGGAGAAACAGTTTTGCGAGAGAAGGCAAAACATCTTTGCGAGGGAACGCAAAACATCTTTGCGAGATAACGCAAAACATTGCGAGGGAACGCAAAACATCTTTGCGAGGGAACGCAAAACTTTGCGAGAGAAGGCAAAAACTTAGAAATATATATTTTCCTCCCACCCATTTTTTTCTTTCACCCATTTTTTTTTTTTTTTTCACCCAGCCAATTTTTTTCTCCTCCACTACGTCCCTTCCGGGGTTCCGTAGATTTTGAACTCTGTGTTGAAGGTAAAGACCTCGCTACTTGAACTTAAATGGAGTAAGTTCAAAGTACTCATATAGTTTTTAACTGAAGTGGTTTGTAGCAATAGGTTTCCTTAGACAGTTTGAGTGCCTTTACTTATTGGGTTTTACAGTACTCAGTTGGTTTGAGTTCTTTAATTGGCTTTAACTGTGCTCACATTTCTGTTTACTCAAATGGATTAAATTCACAGCACTTATTAAGATTAGTTTTTGAATTTAAATGGTTTGTTGCAATTTGTTTTCTCAAACGGTTTGAGTTACCTTAAGTTTTTGGGTTTTACAATGTAGGACCGTGAGTTTTCCTGGCGGTCTGGGCGCAAATATTTTTTTAAATTATGAAAATTATGATTTTACATTAGTTTTCTACATCGATGGATATGTGACCATATGGACATTTCTGATAAGGAGCGTGTGTTTGTGTGCATGGAGGTGTATTATGCACCCTCCCTGTTAAATTTGGTCTACTCCATGTCCTGAAACACACTCCTTCCTGTTCTCATTTCTAATTCTAACAGAGGGAGCGATCCGTTTGTGAATGAATCTCCGTTATAAACTATTCATGTGAACCATTTATATGCCTGCGTCTCATTGTGCACATCCACCTTTCTGATCTAAATGCTATATAACATTTGTAATATCTAACAATTTAGGGTGGACAGTATGCACATTGAGACGCAGGCACTGCTATGTTATCAGTCACCCTTATAAGTTACTTCAAAAACTAGCCGTTACTTCGCTTAGCCGACAATAATACAAGTTTCTAGCACCGCAGCGTCTTGTTGTCATATTTCAGTTAAATTGTTTGCTGATTTGATTTAACAAAACTAGCATAGGTCTAGTATTTAGTCCAAGTTGGTGCTACTTTGCCTTATGGTCAGTTCAGCAAGAGACAGTATTATCATCAATAAATTTACATGAGCACAAACGTTTGTAACATACCAAATCATAAAAAAACTAAATCTTACATATGAAATGTTATGACTTTGTGATTTGTTTTCTTTGTTTGCTCGTTACTACATCCGTACGTAGTGCAGAAGTGTAGCATTTTCAGATTAACTTTAGTCTTGACTAACTGTGGTTAAATTACTTTTGGTCTGGGAGCACTGTACAAATATGGCGGCGATATTGATGCATGTAAATGTCATGGGAATATCTAATAGCTCATAGTAACCTGTGTTGGCTACCTCTTCGCAAATATGTTTGAGCATTTATGCATGTTGTTTAATCCCAATCAGCTCTTTGGTTAAGCACTCAAGAGTAAACAGTCCTCAAGAGTGAACAAAGTTCACACCAAAAGAGTGCTTGTGCTGGTGCAGTTTTAGCAAACCTGGACCTGATTTTCTTTAAATATTTGTTTATATATATTTATAAATATTTGAATATTACAATTATTTCTGAATTATTTCTGAAGGATCAGGTTAAAGGTGCCATGAAGTGCTTTGAACTTTGCATTTTTATTCGATATTTGACGTTATCGCAACTGAAACAGTTAAAAGTGCAGTTGTAGACCCTGCTATTTTTTTAAAAACAGCCAATAGTGTTCTGCTTTTATCAAAAATACTTATGTAAATGCAGCTTTGGTGAGAACAAGAGACTTGTTTCAATAGCATAATAAAAAAAGAAATGAACAAAAAAAAAAAATCACCTCAGGAATAGTAGTATTTTAACAGACTCACTTCTTGTCTTTTGCGCTCTTCAGGTGTGATGAAATCCAAAATACCCAAATCCTTCACCTAAGCATGAAATAAAAAAGTGAAAGAACTTAAAAATTTGTAAAACCTACAAACAGAAATTTTACTTTGTTGCCTCATTACAAACATAAGCAGCAAAGTTCACAAAATACATATTAAACTACTAAAAGATACACATTAACAATCCATTAAAGGGCACCTATGATGAAATTTAACTTTTGTATACTGTTTGGACAGACCTGTGTGTGGGTATAGTGTGTCCACTGTCATGTTGGGGTATAAACACAATAAGTCTCTTTTTTAAATTTCCTGTCATAGGATCCAAATCCCAGTGATTTTGAGGCCCACAACAACGTGACGTAGAAGTGTGGTTTTCCCCGCCCACCAAATTGATTGACAGGTGCAGTGTTTTTATAATAACATGTAAACATATGTCTAAAGAACATTTTTATAGATTTAAAATGTATTTAAAACAGAGCATGTTAGTAATAAAGACGATAAAATCGCTGTAATTCTTAACTGCTATAATCCCCACGGCAGCATGCTGTCAGTAAATGCTATTCTGTGTGTGTGTGTGTAATGCAAACGGCATTTGTGTGTGACTCATCATTTTAGAAAGGCTTAAACTCCACCACAAACACATGGAATAAACTTACTTGGTATTATTGACTAATAGGCTGTATGTCAGCTGCATCTAAGTCTGTGTATATCACTGACTGCTGTTTATCTGATGTAATGCAGGAAAAGCAGACACGCACAAGGGAAAAGTGGGCGGGGAGAAGCAGCTCATTTACACTTAAAGCCACAGGCTACAAAAACAGCTACACTAAACTCAGACACCAAAATGGACATGTTCTGGAGCCTATAATAAATATTCTGAGGGGTATTTTGAGCTGAAACTTTACAGACACATTCTGGAGACACCAAAGGCTTATCTTACATCTTATAAAAGGGGTAAAATAGGTGCCCTTTAAAGCAGTCGCAAAGTTTATTATGTTATTAAGAGTATTTCAAATCTGATGTTTCTCCTTTGACAGAGTAATCAAACCACAACATGATCTAAAGAGCAGAAGCATCACCTGTGGTAGCTGACTCCATGTGATGTACGCTGCCCTGTAGTTCTTCACCACTATGCCCTGATCTTCCCCTGGTGGCCCCACCGGTGAAAGCTCCTCTTCCTCTGTGCTCAAGCTGCTGACGTTAAGGCCTCGTTCCTTGATTTCCTGATAAAACCGTGGCTCTGGAAGTAGATTATAGAAGTATGTATGGTATAAGTATATAGTATAAGTATAGTATAAGTATGTATAGGAAGTATGTATAACTTATAACTCAAGACTTTGCAAAAACACTTTATAAATGTAGTTTCATTAACATTCGCTGGCATTAGGGCTGCACAATTTTTTATTTTAGCATCTTGAAAGGGGCGGGGCATCTATGATACTAGAGAGCATTTGATTGGTCATGGTTTGATGAGAAACTGAAGTATGAAGTGACGCAGGCATGGTCCTATAGTGTCCTATGATTACTTAACATAAATATTTGCTAAACATGTTCACTAAAGCATTTTTATTTAGCTATTGGCGGTGCGGTGTTTTTCCAGCTGAGACACTTGATTTGGAATCCACAGCAGTAACGTGTTATGACTATCTCGTTGATTATCTCATCTATCTCTATCTACCGTTGATCCATTTAGTTGGAAGTGACAAACTACAAGCTTTAGCTGTTTATATCAGTTTTACATCTTCTAAACGTGAATCTTGTCACTGTTTTGGAGCATGCGTTTGCGTGGGTTTCCTCCGGGTGCTCCGGTTTCCCCCACAGTCCAAAGACATGCGGCACAGGAGAATTGGGTAGGCTAAATTGTCCGTAGTGTATGAGTGTGTGTGTGAATGAGTGAGTGTGGATGTTTCCCATAGATCAGTTGCGGTTGGAAGGGCATCCGCTGAGTAAAAACGTGCTGGATAAGTTGGTGGTTCATTCCACTGTGGCTACCCCAGACTAATAAAGGGACTAAGCTGAAAAGAAAATGAATAAATGAATGTTTTGGAGCACACTAGCTCATAGATATCCAAACAAACTAACAATACTGATACCAACATAAAAAAAACTAATTAATTTCATGGGACTTTAAAATAACGCAAGAAATGAAGGTTAAACTGTCTAGTTAATGTCAACAAGCAATAATAATAATAAAAATGCTCTTTGTGAATTCATGTTAGTTACCAAAAATTAGCTCATTAATTTAATGAAAGTAAAAATGTAATGTAGAGTTCACAACTGCACTGACAGTTCAACAAGATAGTTCAAGCCAAGGAAAACCTGGAATGTTGCTTTGACAACTTTATTTTGGTTGACCAGTAAATTTTTACCATCTTTAAAAGAGCCGGCATGCTTTCTGTTCCTGATCCTTCCTAATGTTCTCTGAAAAGAAAGAGAGAACAAAAAAATTTAGCAACATGAAAGTTGACACAGTTCATATGTGAGCACTTAATTTTTTACATACTCCAGCATAGGCGATTAGATCAGAACTCAATATTATACTGGAATTTACAATGAATATAAAGCTTCTCAGATTATTAGAAATTTATATAAATAAATGCTTTAAAAGAAATATTAAAAATTATTATAATGCTGTTTAACGGTATTTATTGGAAAACAGTGTATTGAGTTTTGCGTAGAAAGTGTTTTCAATGCTTGCAAAATGATCCCCATTCACACGGATATACGAAAAAACAACTATAAACCATGCATCATGCATGCCAGACCAGTAGATGGCGATGTCACATGATCATGAGCAGAGCTGTCCTGTCGTGTGCCACTGTTTTTCTGGCTTGTGTTTCACAAACAATGGCGTAACTCACTGCTAAACTACCATTCGTTATAATATACTGTTGAAAAGCTATTTAGCCGTGAAACTATTTCAGTTCTTTGCTAATTTGCTATCTTACATAACTTACATAACTTCCACTATACATTACTTTCAACTTTCCCACAAGCATACCCACTTTTCAAAAACAGTGTTTTAATTCACTGTTATAATTCACTTTAATAGTGCCAGCAGTGTTTCTCTCAACCACGTTCCTGGAGGACCACAAGCACTGCATGTTTTGGATGTCTCCTTCATCTTGTCACACCCATTACAGGTCTTTCAGTCTCTGCTAATGAGCTGATGGTCTGAATTAGGAGTGTTTAGTTAAGGAGACAAGGAAAGTGTGCAGAGCTGGTGGTCCTCCAGAAACATGGTTGAGAAACACTGGCTTAGTCTATGTTTGGAAGCAAATACGTTAATTTTACAGTATGCTAGCTAGCTTATTTTGTTCATGAACATCACTCAAGTCCAAATTAATCACAAGTTTTCCCTTCCCTAAAAACCTTCATAATACTCCTGTTGATATTATGTTGGTTAAATTCAGTGGTGGAAAGAGTACTGCAAAATCATATTTAAGTAAAAGTACCATTACTTACCTAAAAATGTAGTGTAAGTAGAGTAAAAGTTGTGTGTTTTAAATATTACTCAAACTATGAGTAAAAAGACCTTTCAAAAGTACTTCAAAGTACTTTAAGAGTATTACGCTGTGAAAAGCTGATGTATTTACATGTAATTTGTGGATGTGTGTAAACGTAATATTCTGTAGTGCATTTAGTTATTGCCCAGCAGGCACACAACGTCATAAAGGCTGATTTATACTTCTGCGTCAAGCGCACGTGTATGCTATGGTGCGGCCTACACGTGGACGCATAGCCCTCTTAAAAATGTAACTACATGTCACGTGTAGTAGTGCAAGCTTTGTGATTGGTCGGCTTGGTAGCGCTGATGAATGTGGGCGGGACCGAGAGGAGGGCGAGCCCGATGGAGGGATTGTTTACAAGTGTGGAGGCCCTTAAAGGAGCTCCGGATGGAAAGTTTTGTTTTGTGTTTACCTCATGGATAAGTTGTTGCACGTCCGCTGATTCCTGCCTCAAAATGAGCCAGTTTGAACAACTTGTACATTAAGAAAGCGTTCAGAAAAAACAAAACACTAGCGAAGAAACTCGACATAGAGGAACATAAACACCTTACTGCCAACTAGCGTTTCAGAAGCGTTACTGCAGAGCAACAGAACCAGCGTGCAGAAGTATGAATACACAGCTACGCGCATTGCATGCGCCGTGGGTCACGCCGATCACTTGACGCAGAAGTATAACCAGGCTTAAGACTTTAATATTAGATTAGATTTAGGTCGTGATGTCAGGTGACCGAAATTCAATGTCTAGCCAGTGTCTAAGGACAACGTTATTTTGATGTCCAATATGACGTCAAATGACGTTGATATTTGGTTGATTTTAGGTTGATTTTAGGTTGTGTTAGAAAGTGACCAAAATCCAACGTCGAGCCAACATCTTAAACCAACATCATATTGACATTTATTCGTCAGATATGGCAACCATAATCCAACGCTTGATCCCCAGAATGGGGAAGTCCCAGAGTAAAATGAGAAAATATGATACACCGGTGTTTTGGAACATGGAAACAGTTTCTTTACGCTGTTTTCATCTGTTTTTATATTATTATTATTATTTTTTATCTGTTTTTGCTATTATTTTCTGTAAAGATGCTTCTGACCATGACATGTCCACACTAAATGGTTATAAGAGAAGTGTTTAGGCGATTATATGCAACACTCTTCATTTGTTCTCTTATTCAGGGAGAGATCTCCACCTAAGTATCATACTTTGAGGGTGAATGTGCTTAATGCATTATAGAGCTTGAAGCATCAGAATCAGTACTCTATATCGGCTGTAAAAATCCTGATTGGAGCAACCCTAAATGGTATTATAGCACTTAAAGTGATTTTTAGGCCCACTAATTAAATAAAGCAGAGTTTGCCTTCTATCAAAATTGTAAATTTGTCAAAAACTATAAATTCACTTGCCTTGCGTCCCGATTTGTTCGCTTGCTTTGGGCTGACCACTTTCTCATCACTAACCGGCGAAAGACTTTCTGGTTGAAGTTCACCGTCGAGATGCAGACTAGTGATCGCAGCGCGATATGATTTATTCCTGCGATTTCTCCTGAGTGAAACGCCATCACCTGCATCACTGTCATAGTCCTCCCAGCCGATTTCCGAGGCCTGTAGGGGCACGGGTAGGGTCACTACAGTGGTGTGGTGGCGGTTTTTTGGGCGGCTGGTCACTGCCAGGCTTTTTGGAATGAGCTGCTGAGTGCCCCGCTTTCGGGCTGCTTCGCTCTGCGTGCTGAGCACTACCGTCCTGCGCTCATCCTCAGGAGAATCCAATCTGGACAGGTTGATGCTGGATGCTGACTTTCCAGACGACTGGTCCAGCTGAAGGACTGTGTTGAAGCGGCTCTCCGGAATAAGAAGAGACTGGTCATATGTGGAGCCATCAGACTTTCTGTGAGACATGGCAGTTTTATTGGTTTTCTGATTGGCTGGTGAGTGTGCGTCACTTGTTGAACATCTGATTAGGGTCACCAGCAGACCACCGCCTTTACCTGTAGAGATGTTAGGGTAGATGGTTGTAAAAAGGGGTGCACAATATATCATAAAATAATAATAGTATATGCAATATACAGTTGAAGTCAGAATTATTAGTCCCCTTGTTTATTTTTTTCTTAATTTCTGTTTAACGTAAAGATTTTAACACAGTTCTAAACATAATAGTTTTAATAACTCATCTCTAATAACTGATTTATTTTATCTTTGTCATGATGACAGTAAATAATAATTGACTACATATTTTTTTTAGACACCTTTATACAGCTTAAAGTGACATTTAAAGGCTTAATTAGGGTAACTAGGCATGTTAGGGTAATTAGGCAAGTGTCATTGTATAATGATGATGGTTTGTTCTGTAGACAATTGAAAACAAATTTAGCTTAAGGGAGCTAATAGTATTAACCTTAAAAAGGTTTCTAAAAAATGTTTAACTGCTTTAATTCTAGCTGAAATAAAACAAATAAGACTTTCTCCAGAAGAAAAAAATTATCAGACATACTGTGAAAAATTGCTGAATCTGTTAAACATCATTTAGGAAATATACAAAAAGAAAAACAACAGAGAAAAATAAAATCACAAGAGGGCTAATAATATGACTTCAACTGTATGCATTACAGACATGTGTGATAAACTACATTTATTTTTTGCATTGGTTGTTTATCTAAAGACCTATCAGATGGGTTCTTACTATCTTTATCCCTGCCTCCCCAGTAGTTTCTGTTCTGATTTTGGCTACAGCGGCCCAAAGGTAAACCCAGAGATGAAAATAAATACTTTGTCGGGAGTTCAGAGGAAAGAGGTAAATGACAACATCCAATCAGAGTCAGAATGTAATTTGTAATTTTCACTCATGCTAAAGACTTAATGTTTGCAATGACACAATTTTTTTTATTTATGAGAAATTAATACAAATATTCATTTTCAAAATACTTACATGCCAAGCACTGTATAATATTAATCTGCACTTCTCATTTCACATTACATGTGTAATTACAGGTAATAAAGGTAAATCTAATCTTATTATTTACATAACTAATTACATTACTTAATGAATTATAAATTATGTCATTAATAAAGTTAACAAATAAACGTGTCTATTTCTATGTTAAGTATTTTAGGTTCCCATTATGCATATTTCAGCATTTAGCTAATAACAGCTTTTTCCAGAAGCTAATAACAGAAATTTTCCAGAAGCACAGCGGATTGACCCTTGATCATAGAAACAGGTGCAATCATTCACAAATCACGGGAAACATGAGTAAACTTTTATTAACAGTCATACAATTCATCGAAGTTTCCAAAAAGGATTTTCACTGAAGAATCATTATGGGTTCCCCAAAGTATAATTTCAGCTTATTAACCACAGACCATTTAATAATAGAAATACATAAATTTTTCAGTTCAAAGTCCTATTTGTGTAAAGCTACTTTCGTTTTTCCTGACGCACAACTGTTGTACATCCCCTACACACTGTGAGAACATAATCACATACTAACAATAATTCCAGTCAGGTAGAATAAACAATTTACAGTAACAGCATTTCACGCCCAGACTGACTAGCGATCAAAACAACAGCATTTTCTAGTCTGTTCAAAGGTTAAACAAACGCTGGGTCGACTTACCCGGCTAGTTTCACGTGCACCGTGATTCTGAAAGTGTGGAGACCTCAGATATCCCAGCACGGAGGCTAAACATATTAGAAAAATACAGTTTTAAGCAAAACTTCAAAACATTCCTGCACCTTCGCCGCTTCTGTACCTCGGCGTCACACGTCACTCACTCCAGGTGAGCAGAGCCACACCCACCGGTGATTACGCTTTTACTACTTCCTCAAACTATGACGCGTTCTTGTAAACATTTCAGTGTTCTGTCATGCAAATGTAAGGCTATTAATTTGCGCAGTGGTGATCAAACGAGAGGATATAGCCGTATTTTATAATAATGTTCACTGTCGTCAAGTAATGACGTTGTGAAATGTGTGCAGTTTGCGACATCTGCTGGTGAGTTTTGATACTTGTACAGTTACTGATTGTAAAATCTTGAACCCATTTACTCCCAAATTTCATTATAATTTTCCTAGAAATGCATTGTGACTTCTATTCTATGTATTGTAACTAACATGTATACATAAGTTCTCTATTTTTTGTCACCAATATGTTTTCTCACTATATGACCACAATGATTAAATGATTTTTAATTTATATTAAAACCACACATCCTAAATATAATATTTACCAGTCAAATCTTTATTTTAATTTTTTTAATTTATACCTTGACCTTCCATGCTTTCAGGAACTTTGATGTGGAGGCTGCAGTATGAGAAGGAGCGCTATCCTGCTGTAGAATTTGCCCTCTCCTGTGGTTTGTAATGTAATGGGCACACCTGCCTGAATGTAACCTTAAACCATGATTTTTCATTCTTCGTGTTTGACTGGGTTCTGTGAGAATCTTGGGTCTATGTGTGTTCCAACAGGTCTTCTGCAGTATTTGTGATGATTGGGATGCAGCTCAACAGATGATTCATCTGAAAAATTTACCTTCTGCCACTTTTCCAAATATTCAACTAGAAGTCAAATTATTATTTGTTGCTCCTTCAACTGTGATCGACGAGAATACTTTTGTAGTTTTGTAAAAAAAAAAAAAAAAAAAAAAAAATATACATATATATATATATATATATATATATATATATATATATATATATATATACTGTGCATATTTAAATATAGGTGGTTCATTCTGCTGTGGTGGTCAGGGACTAAGCCGAAGGAAAATAATAAATGAACAAAATATACACACACATCTATCAATTTGAGAAAATGTTTGTTTCTATTAATAAATTAAAGATCTAAATATATATATATAAATCTAAATATTTTTGTATTTTATATATGTTTTGTTTATATATACACACACTTAATCTTTATTTTAATCGTATCTTTATGGTAATATACTTTACCAACCTTTTGTTTTGATGAAGCCACCGTCAATTAGAAAAGAAACGGCTTTGGTCATGTGACGCTACACTTCTTTAGCCCTAATCGAGACGACATTTTTTCCTCTTCTCGTCTGAATCATTTGAGTGGTTAAAGGTTTCTCTTAAGTTGTCCTCCCAATTTTTTACAATTGATATTTTCTTTGGTTTATTAGGGAAAGATGTTAAAATTCAATTTGTCTTAAACAATATTCTAATTTTGGAGAAACATTATATTTATAAATGCAAGTGCCTTAAAACAAAACCACTGTTTTTAGTTTTCCAAAAGGATTTATTTTTATACTGTAAATCTTAAAGTTGCTAAAATCAAAATGTGTTTAGTTAAATGTAAACTGTTTATTTTATTGAAATAATTTTAATTAATAGAAGACATGGGGGTAAATGTTTTTTTCTCTCTCTCTTTCTGTTTTTTTAGTTGTGTTTGTATGTCTCTTCCAGGGGTCACCAACCTTTTTGAAACTGAGAGCTACGTCTTGGGTACCAATTATTGTGAAGGGCTACCAGTTTGATACACACTTCCTAAATAAATTTTTTTTTCTCAATTTACTTTTAATCATATGTTGTTATTATTAATGATTAATGATATTCATCTATGTAAAGACACTGATCATGTTAATGATTTCTCACAATAGTTTCAACAATGATTTAACAAGGTAAGAAACAGAAATATCAATATGCAACACTTTATTTGTCTGAAATAGTTTTAGTTTTTTATATATATATATATATATATATATATATATACCTTAATGTCAATAACAAATTTTACACCAATGCAGGTGTGATTTTAAAAGAATAGCTTAAAAAAATTACTAGATTCAGCTTACTGGTATGTGGTGCAATGGTGAACTATTTTTAGAACAGGCCTGTGGGCAACTCATGTAATCCTCATGGGCTACCTGGCTACCATGTTGGTGACCCCTGGTCTATTCTATAGTTTAAGTTTATTTATTTGTATTTTTATTTTATTTATTTGATTATTATTTGTGCTCCGTTCTATACATGTAAATGACAGTTCTACGCAAAAATATATATTTTTCTTAATATTTGGAGGAATTGCACTAGAAAACTAACATTTTATTTATTGAGCCAACTTCACTTCATTCTGCACTGCAAAATTGGTGGCTAAATTGATTTTAGTTATAGTCATTTCAAATTACATCACTGAAACCGACTTTTTGTCATAGCATTTTTACAGTCTGATGAAATAAAAGTCTTAATATCGAAACTAACTTTTAATTAATTTCAATTGCCTTGCAGTTCCTCTGTCAAATATGACAGCATAAGAATATTTTTATGATATCATCAATTACATTAGCGATGTCAAATAATTTGATTATCACATTCACATATACTGTATGTGATCGATTATCACATTCAAACAGTACCTGACAAAAGTCTTGACGCCTATCCAAGTTTTAGGAACAACAAATAATAACTTGACTTTTACATGATCATTCGGTATCAGAAGTGGCTTATATAAAAGGCGAAGGCCTCAAGATTTAGCTTATTTTACCAAAACAAAATATGATCATGCCTTGATTTCTAATTATTTAATTAAGACAGTAAGGTCTGCCTTTGCTTAGACAAAAGTCTTATCACTTAACAGAAATAATGTAGAGTATAGAATATAAAGTCATGCTGCAGTGGACAAAGAATTAATATGACTCCCATAAGCTTGGAGGACTGCATCCATACAACTCTGCAATGACTCAAATCACTTATTAATAAAGTCATCTGAAACTGCAAAGAAAGTGTTCTTGCAGGACTCCCATAGTTCATCAAGATTCTTTGGATTCATCTTCAATGCCTCCTCCTCCATCTTACCCAAGACATGCTCAATAATGTTCATATCTTGTGATTGGGCTGGCCAATCCTGAAGCACCTTGACCTTCCATGCTTTCAGGAACTTTGATGTGGAGGCTGCAGTATGAGAAGGAGCGCTATCCTGCTGTAGAATTTGCCCTCTCCTGTGGTTTGTAATGTAATGGGCACACCTGCCTGAATGTAACCTCAAACCATGATTTTTCATTCTTCGTGTTTGACTGGGTTCTGTGAGAATCTTGGGTCTATGTGTGTTCCAACAGGTCTTCTGCAGTATTTGTGATGATTGGGATGCAGCTCAACAGATGATTCATCTAAAAAATTTACCTTCTGCCACTTTTCCAAATATTCAACTAGAAGTCAAATTATTATTTGTTGCTCCTTCAACTGTGATCGACGACAATACTTTTGTAGTTTTGTTAAAAAAAAAAAAAAAAAAAAAAAAAAAAAAAAATATATATATATATATATATATATATATACATATATATATATATATATATATATATACATATATATATATATATATATATATACATATATATATATATATATATATATACTGTGCATATTTAAATATAGGTGGTTCATTCTGCTGTGGTGGTCAGGGACTAAGCCGAAGGAAAATAATAAATGAACAAAATATACACACACATCTATCAATTTGAGAAAATGTTTGTTTCTATTAATAAATTAAAGATCTAAATATATATATATATATCTAAATATTTTTGTATTTTATATATGTTTTGTTTATATATACACACAAATATTGTTTACACAGTGAGTACACAAACATAAAGAAAATACAATCTTTTGGATGCGATTAATCGTGATTCATCGCTTAACAGAACAATTTAAATATTTTTAAAAGATTAATGCGTCCTATAAATTATTTCTTCCAGATATATGTAGCCTATTAAAGTATTTTCCTGCAGATATATACAATAAAATAAAGATTATAAATCCTTGAACATTTTCTAAGAATAAATCACATTACATTACAAAAATAAATATCACACACCAAAAAAACATGTCTGCTTATGATAAATAAATGGTAGTTAATTTCTTGCTGATATGTGTATAGGCTAATATTCAGGGCTTCAAAAATATAAATAATCTTTTATCAAGAGCATTTTGTAAAAGAATAAATTAAAGTAAAATACAAAAATACTGGGTTGCGGCTGGAAGGGCATCCGCTGTGTAAAACATAAGCTGGAATAGTTGGCGGTTCATCCTGCTGTGGCGACCTCTATAACATTTACATTTACATTTAGTCATTTAGCAGACGCTTTTATCCAAAGCGACTTACAAATGAGGACAAGGAAGCAATTTACACAACTAAGAGCAACATTGAATAAGTACTAAAGGCAAGTTTCAGGTCTGTAAAGTCTAAGAAGGGAAGTGTTAGTAGGTTTTTTTTTTTTTTTTTTTTTTTGTACAGTTAGTGTGATATTCAAAGAGGCAATTGCAGATTAGGAAGTGAAGTGGAGACTAAATAGTTGAGTTTTTAGTCGTTTCTTGAAAATAGCGAGTGACTCTGCTGTTCTGATGCAGTTAGGGAGTTCATTCCACCAACTGGGCAGATTGAGCGTGAGCGTTCGCGAAAGTGATTTTTTCCCTCTTTGGGATGGAACCACGAGGCGACGTTCATTCACAGAGCGCAAGTTTCTGGAGGGCACATAGATCTGCAGAAGTGAGTGCAGATAAGAAGGTGCTAGGCCAGAAGTCACTTTGTAGGCAAACATCAGAGTTTTGAATTTGATGCGAGCAGCAACTGGCAGCCAGTGCAAACGGATTAGCAGCGGAGTGACATGTGCTCGTTTAGGTTCATTGAAGACCACTCGTGCTGCTGCATTCTGGAGCAGTTGAAGAGGCTTGATAGAGCTAGCTGGAAGCCCAGCTAGTAGAGAGTTGCAGTAATCCAGTTTGGAAAGGACATTTCTATAATAGAAAATGTCGAAGGAAAATGAATGAATGAAAACTGAAAATATAAAAACAGATTATAATTTAAAACCTCACTTAATGAATGAAGTATATGTAATGCGTGATAAGTATTTCAAACACCACAATTTATCATTTCAGTTTTATTACATTATTTCTTTGACATTGGGAAAATTAAAAGTGTACAATAGTCCATCTACGAAAGCCCGGCTGAAAACAACAAGAAGAAAACAACATGTAGTGACTTTGATATTTAAAGGAAAGAAGGAGAATTTATAAGGATCTCTACAAGAAGTAATTATAGAAAATCTTCTAATGGCAATGACGTTCATCTCTGTTTTCAGCATCATTATGGCATCTGATAAACAAAAAGCAGAATGTTCCCAAACTCAAGCAGGACAACGCTTATCACTTGTACTCCAACTTTTGCAGAAAAAAAAAACAATAAATAAAAAATAAAACACTCAAAATACATTAACTCTACCCATTGCACAGTGTATGACACAGGATAGACAAATGACATTTATATGCGTGTGTAAATAATACGCACACACATAATCTTCCCCACGCATGCAAACACACGCATACAGATTCACATCCGGCACTTTTCTGATGTACTGATTCTAAACACAATAACAATAGAGAAAGAGAGAGAGAGAGAAAAAAAAATGTAAGTTGCCTTATAGAGGAAGAAAAAAGTTACATTTGTTTTTGGAGGGCCGCAGCATGGCTGAATACACGGTCATGATTCCATGACATATAAAGCTACCAAAAAGATTCAGGCAATGTGATTGTGTAAATCTCAGATCAGATGGTGACAGTGGGGGTTATCAAGACTTTTAAATGCAATATAGAGTGTTTAAGACGTTAGTATATCTCTGTTATTATGGGTTTCATTTAAAAAGGTTTACTCTGACGCCACCTTCTGGTGAAACATTACTTTTGCATTATATTTGTTCAGTCAAGTAAATTTTGCATTTGTCTAAATTATATAGTAGTGCTGTCAAAACATTTATAACAAGGTTAATAGCTTCCAAAATAAAAGCTTGCATTTACATAAAAATTGCAGGACTCCACACAATTCCTTCAAGTTGTCCCAACACAAATGGATTAGGTTTAATTGTTTTAGAAATTTAATTGGACTGAACATAAACGATTAAGTTGTCCCAAAAATATAATTTATAAATATTTTTTTATAAATATTTTTTTTTATAAATGTATAAATATTTTAAATTAGTAGTTTCATATATATATATATATATATATATATATATATATATGAAACTACTAATTTAAAATGAGCGGAATCAACACAATGAAACATATGATGAGAAGCATCCTTTATCATAAACCTTCCAAATGTTACCATCAGGTTGTCAATATTGAGTTCCTTATTGAATATTGATGTGTAAGAAATAGGACAAAATTATCATTTATACCTCAAGCAATTAAGTTTTTAAATTCTTCCTCTCTCAGTAGTAGTTGAAGGCCAGTAGACTGCATGTTTATTTAGAGTAGGGTACCATGTTTTTATATGATTTTCTTATATAAATGCTAAATGTAAAATGTCTCGGTGAGTGTGTGCTACAGAGACAGAGACACATAAAGTTAACTAACTTATATATATATATATATATATATATATATATATATATATATATATATATATATATATATATATATATATATATATATACACACACATACATTCATTTTCTTTTTTGCTTAGTCCCTTTATTAATCAGGGATCGCCACAGCGAAATGAACCGCTAACTTCTCCAGCATATGTTTTACACAGCCGATGCCCTTCCAGCTGCAACCCATCATTGGGAAAGACCCATATACACTCATTCACACACATAGACTATGGACAATTTAGTTTACCCAATCCACCCATTGCACATGTCCTTGGACTGAGGGTGAACCTATAGGACCTGGTGGAAACCTATGTGAACACGAAGAGAACTCCACATAGAAATGCCAAATGACCCAGCCGAGGCTCGAACCAGCGACCTTCTTGCTGTGAGGCGATCTTGCTAACCACTGCACAACTAATATTTAAAAATATCTAAAAATTTATATCTAAAAATTCTGGGTTCCACACAGTTCCTTCATGTTGTCCCAACACAAATACACTGAAAAAAAAGATGTCTGCAAAATTGTTGCAAACAATTTAAATGGGTTGAATTTGTTCAAATAAAATTTCAACAAATTCAGCCCAAATAAACTGTTTACAACCACAACTTTTACCATTTGGGAAATATTTAACAAAGAATAAAAAAATTAAAAGGGGCCTAATAATTCTGACTTCAACTATATATATATATATAACCTCGCCGGTCCTACACCACCCAACCCGCTCTGAGCTGGTGTCAAACTGGCAACCTTCCACATGGAAGTCGGTTACTCTACCAAGGAGGCTAAAGACCATATATATATATATATATATATATATATATATATATATATATATATATATATATATATATATATATATATATATATATAAATACAAACTTTGACTTTGGATGTGATTAATCATGATTAATCATTTGACAGCACTATATGGGTCAAAGACGAAAAGGGGTTTTAAGCAACAAAACAAGGAAGTGCAATTTTCCCCATATATTTGAATGTGTCCTGTTTAAAAAGAAATACCATAATTTACAGAAGATGCCCTCTTAAATTCAGTAGAACAATAGTTTATATAACAAAAATAAATCTTGTAAGGCATATTTAGAACAATAATCCTTTGAGAATATTTCAGAAGGATCACAGCGCAGCCTCAAAATACAAAATAATTACATTTTTAAACCTTTACAAATACAAAAAAATCTGCAGTTTTCATCATATTCAAATTTACTGCAATCAAGAGTTGTTTTACACATTTTATAACTGTAGATTAAAATAAGTATGTTGCTTTATATGTATATATTGTTATTTTTATATATTGTTATTTATTGTTAACATAAGTGCAACCTTATTTCACCTATACTCTGACATTATTTTGATAAAAGTTATCTGACACATAAACAAGTTCAATTAACTTGCATTTAATATGTTTACTAAGTATACACAATCACTTTCGCCATTTTAATTTGACACCAAATCGTCTTTGACCCACATATAATCTGAAATTACTACATGTAGAAACATATTTGCATCATAAAGGTGTAAGAATACATATAACGCCTGTTCAGGACTATCATACTTCAGATTATGACCACATGAAGCAAATTAAAAAGCATTCAAGTCGAGTATATGATTTCCTTGACATATATAATCTATCTATACAACAAAATATTACTAGAGATTTGAAACAAGAAATGTGAAGCTAAAGGACCATGTCGGGAGAGCTTAAAATGTGTCCGGAGGTTCCTGCAAAATAATTTACTGATGTTTTTTTCCATCCTAAAGACTGTAAATTAACCAGAGGCATAAGAGCTGACATGCATTTGCAAATGCATCCTCCAAGCTGGCATTTAGCATTTGGGATAGCATATAGGATATACTGAGACTATATGATGAGGCGGTGGAACAAGAGCACGCTGTCTTGAAACCCATCCGTGGTTTGTGTCTGGCAGATTCTGAACCATGTCCTACATTTATAGAGTTATGCGAAAGTTTGGGAAATCTGTGAAAATGTGAATCATTTTGACAAAATATGTGGGATCATACAAAATGGATGGTTTTATTTATTTAGTACAGTCCAAAGTTTACATGTTAAAATAAGGTGAACTAAACAAAAAATAAGGAGCATCCAGGATCTGTTTCTTTACCCTTATTTATTGTTTTTTGTAATGTATTATTGAAGTATCGGATCAGGTTTCAGTATTGGTATACTCAAAATCAAATGACTCGGATTCGAGGGCACAAAAAAAAAAAAAAAAAAAAAAACTGATGTGTAGTTCCCAGCATGCTAGCATGCTTTACTTGGGATTGAATTAAGAAGAGAATATTTAAAAATAAAAGCAATCTTATAGTTATGGAATGTATATATATATATATATATATATATATATATATATATATATATATATATATGTGTGTGTGTGTGTGTGTGTGTGTGTGTGCGTGTGTGTGTGTGTGTGTGTGTCTGGTAAATCAAATATAATTGTTTGAAAACACTGAGAAAGTCACACATGTGGCAATTTCACATCTGTCACATCCATAACGGAGAGATGTCACATCCATAACAACCCTTTTTCCTCATAAATGCTAAAAAAATTACATGAAATAAAATCATTAATTTTTGTTTTATAGAGAGTCAAGTCTTATCATTTTGATTATCATTACTTATTTTGGTTATTTTGGATACTGTAAACTTGCAGACTTTTTTGGTCACATCCATAACGCATGTTTATTTTCCGCATTTAAAGTACAAAACATGTTTACAGAACAATATTTTTCTGCTCCCTAACTTTGTGGTCAGTTGTTCTGGAAAATATAAACAGAAGTTGCAATATAATGTTAACAAATACTTTCTATTTGATTTTATTTTTTGAGTTTTTACTGCAAAACGTCACATCCATAATGCTGAAATTGCTCATATATATATATATATATATATATATATATATATATATATACATATATATATATATATATGCATACAAATTTGACAATTTTTATCCTGGTCAAAAGTTTTCACCCGCTGGCCCTTAAAGGGACAGTTCATTCAAAATGAAAATGTACTCACTTTACTCTCCCTTAACTGATTATAAACCCTTACGAGTGCTTTTTTTTTTCTTCTTTTGAACATAAAAGTAGGTATTTAGAAGAAAGCTGAAAACCTGTAACCATTCACTTCCATAGTAAAAAAAAAACAAATCCTTAAAAAGTCAGTGGTTACAGATTTCAATCTTTCTTCAAAATTTCTTCTCATCAGAAGAAAGAAATTCAAACAGGTTTGAAGCAAGAGGAGGATGAGTAAATGATTACAGAATTTTAGATTTCTGGGTGAACTAAGCCTTTAAACATTTTAAAAATAGCTGTGCTTGAGTTCTTCAGTTGTCCTCAGTGTGAAAATATGGATCTTAAAAATCAAAAAATTACTTCGGGAAAGGATTAAAATATGCAAAATGCGGCGGAAAAGTTGAAGAATCTACAGGATAAGTTCAGAACAACAGTATTAAGATCCAAGGCTTCACAAACTGGTGGTTCATTCCGCTGTGGCGACCCCAGATTAATATAGAGACTAAGCCGAAAAGAAACTGAATGAAAAAGGCTTCACAGCTTTTTTTGCTTTTGAGTTATTTAAAAAAATTTTGTCTGTCAAGTAGATAGATGTAAACATCTTTTATGTAAAATTTTCTTACCCAGCACAGTACTAAATGAAAAAATATTATCCAATTTGTACAATCTCTCTTATTTATTCAAATTTCTTCCCATTTTCACAGACTCCGCAAAGGCTTTTCGCAAAACACTGTATGTCAGCGAAAAAGTTGTGCAAGAGGGGCTTCGATGACTGTGAGTTTACTACTGTTTCGCTATGTCTCCTTTCTTTAAAATGATCTGCTTTTGCCACGGCGCCAGCTTGGTTTCATCATAGCCTAGCGTTCGTAGTCGCTCCAGTTCTGACTTCTCCTCACTCTCCTTCTCCATCCGCCGTTGTTCTTCATCTTTTCTGCAGGGGTGAGAATAGAAAGCGAGATGTGTTCGATTTATAATGCTCACCATCAGAAAGTTATAAATAAACACTACTGCAACTATGATTAGTACCGCTATCACTACTGAAAGTCTTACCTTTTCTGTTCCCTGTCCACCCAGGCATGAATGAAAGAAATTAGAGGATTACATGTATTTATATGTATATGCATAAACATATGTACATTTGCCTAAAACAGGGGTGAACAAACTCGGTCCTGGAGGCCCGGTGTCCTGCATTGTTTAACTTCCTTCAACACACCTGTCTGGATGTTTTTGTATACCTAGAAAGACCTTGATCAGCTGGTTCCGGTGTGTTTAATTGGGGTTGGAATTAAAATATGCAGGACACTGCATAAGTTTGGGCACCCCTGGCCTAAAAGCACTACAACAAACACTACAATATGAAAATACTTCACAGTTTTACTTACATCTTACCACTTTGGTATTATAGTCCGTCAAAGATATTGAGAGTAAAAGACAGAAAATTGACAGATTTGATAGAAGAAACTTCATGCAGAACTTTTAAGGTAGTAATTAAATCATTCGATTCATTGTAATTCATTAAAACAATGTGTCCTAACAACACACAACATGACGAGATACCAGCGACAAGTCATTTGGCTGTCTGCAGCAAACTCAATGCGACATGACAGAAACTTTTAAATACCCGCCATTGCACTCCCAACGAAATGGTAAAGGCTTTCAATCTAATTAATCCATATTAAACCTCTTAACAATGTCAATAGGCTACTGATGTTGGTTTGCACTGAATCATATTTCTGACTTTCAATTTCAAACCATCTGCAAGTTATTTTACACTTCCTGACAAAAGTCTAGCATCGATCACAGTTGTAAGAGCAACAAATAACAACTTGACTTCTTGTTGATCATTTGGAAAAGTGGCAGAAGGTCAATTTTTCTAATGGATCATCTGTTGAGCTGCATCCCAATCATCACAAGTACTGCAGAAGACCTGTTGGAACCCACATGGAGCCAAGATTCTCACAGAAATCAGTCAAGTTTGGTAAAGGAAAAATCATGGAGTGGATGAAAACATCAACAGCCTGAGGCATCAAGCCATTTGTGCTGCCCAATACATTACAAACCATAGGAGAGGGCAAATTCGACAGCAGGACAGCGCTCCTTCTCATACTTCAGCCTCCACATCAAAGCTCCTAAAAGCAAAGGTCAAGGTGCTCCAGGATTGGCCAGCCCAGTCACCAGAAATTAACATTATTGAGCATGTTTGGGAGTAAGATGAAGGAGGAGGCGTTGAAGATGAATCCAAAGAATCTTGATGAACTCTGGGAGTCCTGCAAAAACACTCTTTGCCATTCCAGATGACGTTATTAATACGTGATTTGAGTCATTGCAGAGATGTATGGATCCAAGCTCATGGGAGTCATATACAATATTAATTCTTTTTCCACTGCACCATGACTTTATACTTTATACAGTACATTATTTCTGTTAAGTGACAAGACTTTTGTCTAAGCAAATTCAGAACTTACTGTCCTAATTAAATAACTAAAAATCAAGGCATTATCATATTTTATTTTGGTGAAATAAGCATAATCTAGAGGCTGTTGACTTTCATATAAGCCACTTCTGATACCAAATGATCATGGAGAAGTCAAGTTATTATTTGTTGTTCCAAAAACTTGGATTGGTGACAAGACTTTTGTCATGTAGTGTACTTTCAAGATCTGAGGTAAACTATCTACAGGTAAGTGGTAATGGTATTCAAACCCATATTGTTGAAATTTAACACTAATTAAAGCACATAATTGGTACCTGAGGGGTGATCATTATCTCAGTAATACATGCTGTTGTGCTGCCATGATATTGCGGAAATAGAAGCGGTTTCTAAAACAGAAAATTTGTGTCGCCGTCGCACATGGTTAGGACACAAACTTCTTTTTTTTTACACTAATAGGATAATAGAGAGTACTGACAGGAAAGCGTGGGGAGCAGAGAGTGGGAAAGGACCTTAAAGCGGGAACTGAACTCTGGTCACCGTGAGCACCACAGTGCATTTGTTGACGCACTAATTGGCACATCTTTTAACATGGAAAAGATCACGGGACTGCGTCGCGTGTAGTTAGGACACATTTTCAAATCATAACTTTTTGAAATATTAGTATTTGGAAAAAATCAACTTGATCTTTAGGTTGTGTTCACAACATGCATGTTTTGGTTTAGTTAAAATAAACTCTGGTGCGATTTTTTTTTTGTGAACACTATCACCTGAAAGCCTGATGCACCCAAGAACCAGACTGAGAATTCTGAGAAGGGCTGGATGCACCATAAAAAGAACATAATGCTCACATAATGCATAAAGTTAAAGCCTGTGCACTCCGAGACCATTTTCAATCGTGCTTATCGACAATGTTTAATGCCTCGGGGATAAACAAAGGCCATAAATGTTAGGTTGCACACCAACTCGTAAAATACCCAGGTCTAAAAGTGTCATTTTTCATTCATTTTCTTGTCGGCTTAGTCCCTTTTTTAATCCGGGGTCGCCACAGCCGAATGAACCGCCAACTTATCCAGCAGGTTTTTACGCAGCGGATCCCCTTCCAGCCGCAACCCATCTCTGGCAAACATCCACACACACACACCCTCATACACTATGCACAATTTAGCCTACCCAATTCACCCGTATAGCATGTCTTTGGACTGTGGGGGAAACCGGAGCAGAACATGCAAACTCCACACAGAAACGCCATCTGAGCCGAGGTTCGAACCAGCGACGCAGTGACCTTCTTGCTGTGCGGCGACAGCACTACCTACTGCGCCACTATGTCGCCAGTGTCATTTTTGTCTCAGGCAAATTTTTTGGCTTGACACACCACGTTAAAAACGGGTCAACCAATGTGATTGACAATTCTGTTCACACTTCTTGAGCTGCTGAAGTTACAGTAAAACACACTTTGAAGGCACTTAAGCACACAATTGGCTAGCCAAAAATACAGGAACTGCAGATCACATAGGATTTGATTGTAAGTTTCATTTCACTCAACTTTTTTCAAGGCTTGAAAATTTTTCCTGCAATCTTTTGGAAGTTAAACAGAATGGGATAAAACAGGAAAAAGCATGAAGGCGTAACAAGCGAGTGTAATGTTGCACGCAGCGCAATCTCACGACAATTCGTAACTTTTTGATTTAGTGGCTAATTCGAATGAATTCGTACGATCTAATTCGTACAATTTAGTTTGATTTGCTCATTACCCAATGACGGTTGGGGTTAGAGGTGGGCTTGGGTGCTACGCCTTCTTTTTTAAATCGTACATTTTCGTACGACTGAACTCCACTAAACTGACAAAACGTAAAATACTAACGCTTCCTCGTGGGATCAGGCTGTTGCACACTGCCACGTTGTCTACCGTTGTATTTCTGTTTATGTGAAAATTACTTGGGTATGAATCCTGAAAAAATGTTTTAATAAATGCTGATGATCCTGGCGTGTATGTTTTTTCCTCGTCATAGACACGTGGCTTTATTTTAACGATCTAAGCATGTCCGAATGAACTATTTTAAGAATGGAAAAAACAGTAGGTGCACCCAGCGCTTTGTTTAAATCGGTTGTCCTTATTCTGCTAAGAAATGTTGGGTGTAACATGTATTAAACAAATCTCCCATTCCTCTTCAGAGTGAATTTCAGTTACTCCATACATAGCGCTATCGCTATTTACATAGCAGACTTTCTTGTTTCGGACGTATTCCAATCAAGTGCATTTAATTTTGCAATTTAGTTTTTTAAATAAAAACTAGGGCGCCACAGTGACATAGTGGATAGAAGGTTGCTGGTTCAAGCCCCAGCTGGGTCAGTTGGCATTTCTGTGTGGAGTTTGCATGTTCTCCCGTGTTGGTGTGGGTTTCCTCTGGGTGCTCCGGTTTCCCCAACAGTCCAAAGACAAGTGCTCTAGGTGAATTGAATAAGCTAAATTGGCCGTAGTGTATGTGTGTGAATGCAAGAGTGAATGGGTGTTTGTGTTGTGACTGTTTGTGTTGAGTTGTGACTGGAAGGTCATCTACTGCATAAAACATATGCTAGATAAGCTGGCAGTTCATTCCGCCGTGGCGACCCCTGATTAATAAAGGGACTAAGCCGAAAAGAAAATGAATAAATAATAAAAACTAATAAAAAAATCTTATGTCAAAAGGAAAAACTAAATTATTTTGCTTACCCCATTGGCAGATTATTTAGCTTTGTTTCAGAAAAATCTCACTTAACTGTGGCATATTATTTCTTAAAACAACATAAAAATGTGTTGCTTGTCTAGAAAATGATTTAAGACTTTTTTAGATACTTAGACAAAGAACAAGACCAAAAATCGGTGCCGTCTTAAAACTGACAGTGTAAACACATCATGAACCAGAGCTAAATGTAGGATTGTCAGACATAAGCAACCAAAAGTTAATATCTATATATGTGAATTGTGAACACACCTTTAAACGTCAAGGCGCCTCACAATACTAAGGTAAACACATTTCTTTGTGAAAAAATGTGACTAGTATTGTGAGTGTAAAATAAAAAGGATGAAATTACAAAAGTAACACTTTTCAATCAAGTTTCACAAGGAAGAATGAAGGTCAGTGAGGTTTACAGTACAAACAATTGACAGACAAACAAAGGGGATAGTAGGGAGAAAGGCTCTGGATCTAACTCACTTCTCTTCCTCCAATTTTTTCTTCATGATGTCTCTCCTCCACGCAGGTAAGGATGCCAGACGAGCCGCCTCTTCTTCAGCCTGTCACACACAGAAAGAAACCAAGCACATTTTTCATGAAGACGACCTCAAGATGTTACTACAGTGAGCTGGGGGGGAAATAAAATCCTGTTTAAACAACAAATTCACGTATGTAAAAGAATTTTGAATACTAGAAAACTGGATATAAGCACAGATGAAGTCAGAATTATGTGATTTTTTTGCAGGGAGGGGGGCAGTTTTTAACAGAGCAAGGAATTTTTCACAGTATTTCCTATAATATGTTTTCTTCTGGAGAAAGTCTTATTTGTTTTATTTAGGCTAGAATGAAATATTAATATTATTACCCCCATTTAGCAATACATATTTTTAGATATAAAGATACAAGAGATCAGTCGTTAGAAATGAGTTATCAAACTATTATGTTTAGAAATGGGCTGCTTTCAGATAAATAGAAATAAGTAGGGCTAATAATTCTGACTTCAACTGTACATACATATTATATACATCTATATATAGTGTATACATACAGTACATAATTAAAACTATTTATTGTTCTAATTCTAATTAAATTAAGTTAATTGTGACCTAAGTCATTTGCTAATTGTATTATTAGGCTGCAGGTGAACATTATGTATCTACACAGAGTGCCACAAACAATCGTCCACACACACTTCTAAAAAGCACACGATTTCAGCTTTCTGCAGACAGGTTACTCAGGCAATAAGTGTGTGCACACAGTGTGAAAAGTGATCTTCTTCCTCCATTCAAACGGTAACTATAGCCGGCAGAGGAGGCCTTCTTCAGCTTCTCATTTCCCCTCCACACGGATTGTTTACCTAAACTGCTACTGTGAAGCCACATCGCTGGTAACAGCCAGAGTATCTGCGTAAACTAATCCATGTCTTAATATTTCATTATTCCCCAGGGAATTATATGCCAGAAAAAAAAAAAAAAAAGTAAATAATGATTGAATAAAAATGATGATCGGTTATTGTAAGAGATTTTTATTTATGTTATATTATATCTGTATTAAAAAATGAATGTTTTTTTTAAATATATGAAGGTTTTTCTATATTATTATATAATCTATTTTTATAGACATATAGTTGATCTAGAGAAGGGGTTACCCCCGTGACCCCCAAAATAACAATGACAGTGACTCAGGGCGCCCAATATCCTCTGAGGTGGTTATAAATATTGAAACCTTGCATGCAAAGGCGCACACACACCAATAGGCCCAAGTCTATTCCTTGTTCAATTTAATGTATGCGAGTGCTGTAAATGTGCCAGAAAGTTTACCCTGGTGCCATAAAATCAATCTGCTGCATCGGACGCTATTGCTGTGTGTTTTAAATGGTTTAATCACCACAAGGGTGGCAATCCAACAAAAATAAATAAATAAATCGAAAAGCTGTAACTATAAACTACTAATTTTATCTTCAGTAAATTGTGGATAAAATATGGTCATTCTAGTGGTTTATTAAAATTAATTAGATTTTTGGAAATCACCAAGCGCCCTCATCCCACCCTTCATTGTCCCACGACCCCCCCTGGGAAGTCCCGACCCCAACTTTGGCAACCACTGATCTAAAGTACAGTGAAAACTTTACAATATTTTTTTGTTTGAACATAATTTAAACAGTTGTTTGAGGGGGGAATTTTTTAACAGAGCAAGGAATTTTTCAGAGTATTTGCTCTAATATGTTTTCTATAATTTGTTTGATTTTGGCTAGAATTAAATATTAATATTATTAACCCCCATTAAGCAATATTTTTAGATATAAAGATACAAGAGATCAGTTGTTCGAAATGAGTTATCAAACTATTATGTTTAGAAATGGGTTGAAAAAAAAATCTGCTTTCAGATAAATAGAAATTGGGGGGAAAATAATTATGGGGGGCTAAAGCTGGATTTTTAACATCAAAACTCAAATTAGTTAAATTATTCTTCATTCTAATCATTCTAATGCTGTGTTCACACCCGACACGGAAGAAACATCAAACGTGAGTGATTTACATGTTAAGTCAATGCAAAGACGCGAATAGGCATCCTGCGGCGTGAATGGGGCAGCGCGAATGGTGCGATTTGTGCGAATGAAGCGTCGTTGACCTATCAGGAGCTTCCTCTTGTAGGGGCATGCTTACGTAGCACCTGTTGTTAGTGTCGCAGGGGGAAATTCAAAAGCTGATCAACAGTTGATCAAACTGGGCTCGGCTCAGTCGGACGCACCGCTGAAAGCTTCCATCATCCAGGTATAGTTCCTGGAGGAGTTTATGAACTCAAAGAGCTGGTGCACCTCTGAAAGGATCTAATGGACTCCAAATAAATCAACACTGTTTTTCAGCCTTCATAAAGCACATAGATACAGTTATTCTCTCAATAAAATCCATGTTAGCCATTTAGCAACAAAGCTACAGTCACCGGGCAGACAGAAGCCCTGCCCTTGAAGCGAATTCGCGTCTGTTGTGAAGTGAAATAGCACAATTTATCCACGCGTACAGCAACTGGTGTGAACAGCATATTATTTTAGTATCTACCCAGCAGGCACAAGGCCATCATTATGATGTTAAATTGATGTTCTACCCCAACGTCATAGGGATATTGTATTTTGTTTGGAAATGAAAACTGAGTTGACGTCAGAACCCAACATCAGACTGACATCAATGTACAACGTCTAACCTAAAATCAACCAAATATCAACGTCGAACGATGTTACAGCTTGAAGTTGTGTGGACGTTACCATTATGACGTCTATCAGATGTTAAATTTTAGTTGCCATACCTGACAAATACGGGCCCTATCATACACCCGGAGCAATGTGACGCAAGACGCAACGCAATTGCTATTTGCTACTTTTACCTCGGCGCAAGGGTCATTTTGAGGCATTGCGCCACACTGTTTAAATAGCAAATGCATTTGCGCTCATATGTGCGCCCATAGGCGTTCTGGTCTAAAAAAGCAGGCGTGTTTTGGCGCGTTGCTATTTTGAGAAACTGTAATTAGTCACAACAAAGTCGGTCTATTGTCTGGCGCAAAGTGCATCTGGCTTAAACACAATACACACAAGATGCAGAGCAATACGCAAATATCTTTACATATGAAAAAGATATAATATATTAAGGATATATATAATAAGGATATATATAGGATATAAATTTAAATGATTAAAATATTACAAAACATATTAATTTCTAGCCTACATGAATTTAAAAACCACTGCCTTACTTTCTTCATCTCGGGAGGCTTTTTCAGTTCATTCAATTTGCTTTTGTATAATGTTATTATTATTAGCAGTATTATTTATTATATCCATATTTATATTTGTTTTATTAAGAACAAGCTTAGATTTGTCCACCTGTCAGGTTTTAGACCATATGGGGCATGGCAGGTGTATTTGGAAATAACTCAGGTTTTTGAGCACACTTCGTTAATATTGTTCATTTATTCGTTTGCTGGAAATTAGAACTGAATTTAGAAATAGTTTTGAAACAAATCTTTGCGCTTAACAAACAAAATGAATTATTTATAGGCTAATTGATTTCTGTGCGTAAAGGTTTCCCTATCCACGAGAGCAAAAGCGAAAGTGAACTTACTTTACGTCATGTAAATAGCAAATCCGCTTATGGCGCGACGCAGCTGGCTCTTAAAGGGAATGGGAGATGAGACTCTGATTGGTTTATTCTCAAAACACACCTATAACTCATTAAGAAAATAAACTCAACCCTTTTAGACCATACGCCACGGCGCAAAGCAGATTTTCCCGTCCTTAAATTTGCAAATATGCATTCTGACATGCCCTGAAAGCGTTTGCGCCCTGCGCTTTGCGTTTTGCGCATGGACCGTCAAAATAGAGCCCTACACGTTAGTATGTGACGTTGGTTTAAGATATTAGCTCGACAGTAGATTTTGTTCACTTTCCAACATAACCTAAAATCAACCTAAAATCAACCAAATATCAACGTCATTTGGCGTCATTATTGGACGTCAAAATAACATCTTCAGACACTGGCTAGACTTGGAATTTTGGTCATTTGACATCACAACTTAATTCTATACTAATATTAACATCTTATGACGTTGTGTACCTGCTGCGTAACTAATGAAATGTAATAATTCTAAACTAAAGGATATTAATTTCTGCAGAAAAACACAGTTGCTGAGCTAAAGAAAAAAGAGCGATATTCTAGCAGAAGAGATAGATTTATATATATATATATATATATATATATATATATATATATATATATATATATATATATATATATATATTTTTTTTTTTTTTTTTTTAAACTACCCTAAAAATAATTATATCTGCAAAACTGTTGCAATCAATTTATATGGGTTGAATTTAAACAAATGAATTAAATGTAGTAATGTTCAACTTAATTTGTTTGTTTAAATTCAGCCCAAATAAATAGTTTACAACCACATAATGTAAAAAACATATAGTAAATCTAAGAAATCATCTTTGAATATTTTTGTTCAGTCTATGTCTAACAGTAAAGTAACAATTCACTTTTTACAGTCTTTTATATTTTTGCATACACATAAAGACAGAACAGTTTTGACCCTTGCGTGTTGTGTTTAGCACCTGTCTATATTTTCCACATGCATAGAGTTAGACTGAAGTCCTGCTAAATGCTCTCAAGAACACAGCTTGAGCTCGACTCCAAAAATAGTCATGATTCCGTAGTTAACTCTCTAATTCTTATTTAACTCTTTAGCTAATTAAGTTCACAGAACCCAACTGGAGCTGATAAATAGTAGAGCAATCCATTATAATGGTAAATTCAAGATATTTGTATATGAAAAAAAAAAAAAAACTATGGTAAATGTTATCAAATGAAACCACAAATGAAATCACAAGAATTAGATTTATTAGTTTAGTCCCCCCCCCCAAAAAAATACAAATCCTCAAACTGACACTTCAAACATGGTTACATGGAATAAAACAATTTTACAGTTGTAAAAAAAAAACTGTTATGAATATCAGTGGCAATAAAAACATGTTCAGGTTAACTTTAGTAGAAATCTATCA